ACCGCATTGCTTCAGCTGAAGAAGGTGGCCCGCAGTCTCGCCCTTAACAACAACTCTCAGGTGAGCTTTAGCCACGCCCATCAGCTCATATGTGCCGCGCCTCTTTTTTGCCTCACATAACCATTCCATTCACATGCTTCTTAAATAAGAACAATTGCAGGAAATCCTTTAAGTGCCCATATTATTCTGGTTTACAAGTTTGTAATTTTATTTTTGGGGTCTGCTAAAATACATTTACATGATTTAAAGTTCAAAAAAAAAATATTTTTCTTATACTCTACATTGATTCAGCACCTCTTTTCACCTTCTACCTGAAACGCTCTGTTCCTATCTCTTTTTCTTTAAAGCCTGCCTTTCCAAAAAAGCCCTGTCTTCTCTGATTGGTCAACTGCTACAGTCTGTTGTTGATTTGTGTGCCAGAAATGTAACGCAGCAATATAGCGAAATCACTTACTCAACTGATTATTGAGTGTGGGCAAATGTAGTAATTAGGCGGGTTACAGAATTAATGGCAGGACAACAAACGCCAAAGAGAGTTGGAGAGATTAGCTTTCTTTGGACTTTGTGCTTTGTAAATTTGTTCCGTGTGGACTTTGCGCTTTGTAATGCTGCAGATTGTTTTCATTCACAAAACAGATGGAAAGGTACAATAAAAAAGCATAATATGTGCTATTTAAAACCAATTTATTACCATTGACAGGGAAAAGCGAGGTCTGGAGAAGATGCTGCCATTTTACAGCAAGCTCTGTGGGACAGAGATGAAGCCGTTGCAAAGTGAGTTCAGTTGATCACTTGACTAATTTTGGACTTTTTTTAAGAAATAAGACATTGAAATACTATCATAAATATCTGATGACAATTATATATATATATATAGGCCTACTGTATATATAATCACGAAACTCTAGATGAAGCTGACTAGGTTCTTAAGTCAAACTGCTTGCAATCATCATTCTTTATAGGGGACAGCTGAATGGTTCCTGCTGTATCAGTGGCCAATGAGTCCGCTGCTCAACTTTCATATACTTGGTCAGCATTTGCTGTAGCAATTAGAATTCCTCCACCTTCGCCAGATAAACCTGTATAGATCTTTTATGGGTAATTGATGCTATATTGTACAGCAGCAGCATGTCTTGCTGACAGCAGTGTTTTGTGTATGTATTGGCTGTAGCAAATTTCGTACTTGCTCTGCAGCAGCAGCGTAGCAGTTTTATTCTTTCAAGACCAAATATCAATATTTTCATACCCATTACCATGCCAAACACTCCAAGAGTTGGCATTTCTGTCATGACAACTCTGTTTTTTCTTTCTTTTTCTTTTTTAAATGCAGAAAACAAGCAATGGAGACTGAGCTATTGAGAAGCAAGAACGAATTGATGACACTAAACAACCATCTTCTGGAAGCTGTTCAGAGTCGACTAGAACTGTCCATCGAGTTGGAGGCCTGGAAAGTATGTTTAAGCAGACTCGGATGCCAATTAATTGCATATTTTAAATACTGCTAAAAAATAACTGTAATGGCTAAAAAGTTTGCCACTTTTGCTTTTTAATGAAAGCAAAAAATAAGAAAGAATAAAAAAGGAAGTAAAATCAATATGAATTAAATTGTTATATATTAATTGATACAGGCTTGTGATTTTATTCATATTTTATTTGTATCTGGTCTAGTTAACTCCAACGTGGTAACAATCAAACATGTTTACCTCAACAGACAATTGAATTTTAGTTGTTGAAACATTATAGAGCCATTATAATTTTAAAAGGCTTAACTGAGTAAAAAATGCACAACGACGTTGTCCTAAAAATAAATATCTCAATATTAATATAATCTAACACTGTATATGATTGATATTATTTAATGTAATCAAGGGGTAAGTGTAATCTGTTGGGAGAACAGCTGTTAGGGCTGTCTCTCTGCAGGACAGTCGGATCTGAATCCTGTTTTGCCATCTGGTCTCTGTCTGGTTTTCCTGCAAACCCCTGAAAACACTCATTGATGTGATTTGGCTATGATTTTCCTCATGGATGTTCTTAAAACAGTTGTGTCGTGTCTTACAGGATGACGTACAGACCATTCTTCATCACCAGCTCCTCAAACAACAGCAGGAAGAGCAGGCCCAGAAGAAGTCAAAAGGGTTTGGTGTTTTGCGGCGCTCAAATAAGCCCCTCCCTCAAAAACCTGATTATTCCACCCTGGCACAGACACCTGTGTCGACCCCCCAGTCACCTGCAACAACTCAGAGATGGAAAGACAAGTTCAGACGTGGAAAAATCACTACACAGGGACCTGTTGAGTCACAGTCACAAATGAGAGACAAAGAGGACAATTTTCAAACGGTCTCTTTGGACTGATTCAGTGACACGTAACCAATGGATGATCTCACATCTCATTGATTGTTCGCTGATTTAGATCATATTGCCACACCACAGTGAGATGACAATCTTAAGGGTGTAAATAATATTATGAATAATGTTATGACACATGTGCTTTTCTCTAGAGGTGACGTTAACTGTTGTGACTGAGGTGATATCTGGTCTATTGTTAAGAAAAGGGAATAAAGGTGACAGAGAAAACAATACAACATTATTTAGGTCTGATTTATAAGGCTCTTTGGAATAGTTCTTTCAGGAACATACACCATTTCCCCTCTTTGTTGTTAATTATTAATCCACATTGGGTTAAATTATGCTCTAAGGCCATTTTGTGGTGCTTTCTGATAGTGATCACTTTGCATTACTATATTCATTCTATAATTTTTGAGTAATCATTCAAATATACTGATTTGGGGCTCAATAAGAAAAAACAATTTTTTTAAATTTTTCTTCAAGGAATAGACAGTTCGACAGCATTTTCTAAAAATAAAAATCTTTTGTAACAAATGTTTTTTTACTGCCACTTTTGATCAATTTAATACTGAATATTGATTTCTTACCGACCCCAGACGTTTGAACAGTAGAGTAAGTGACTCTTTCTGTTATTGGTTTGGTTGGTGCAATGCATTATTGTAAGTATTGCCTATTTATTTTTGTGTATAAACATCTTTACACTTTGTGCATACCACTAAGATTTGTTTTCACTGACCAAAAATAAACAGCTTACCTTCCTGCATGTAAGCACCACACCTTACCTTACTTACTGTATATGCATGATGGTTGCTGCTGTGCATATCCACTTCATTTGCGAATGACTTAAATTATTATAAAAAAAAAAAAAAAAATCGTATACTTCACCATTCAACAACATTTTAGCTTCTAAGCAGATTTTTAAAGGCCCTGACAGAACATGTACAGGAACAAGCGATACTAGCAATGCTCACTGCACCTGAGTTGCATATGTGGTAAAACTTTCTGTAAGGTAGTACAAATCAATCACATAAGCAGGTTGACGACTTAATACATTTATTTAGTAGTAACAAATCTGCACACAGATACACTCTGGCAAGCAAAGGCAATACACCCATACAAACTGCTCAACATTGACTCCCACACACTCGTTCATGACCTGTCATTACGGACACATTAGATCAACAAAACAAAGAACCAGTTTCACTATGTAACACTACTACTAAATAGTAACAATACATTTAGCCTACTTTTCTCCACTTTCAAACAAACAATAAAGAGTAGGCTACTGCATATGAAGCATCAAGAATAGGTTTAACTCTAATTTAGTACAAGGATACTTACATACAATGAATATATATCAAGTTCTCTAAGTGGCAAGATAATAAACCCAATATGTAAGCAATAAGGTATACGAGAGGCTGTGCTATCGTGAATAAGTAGCGGAGTGCAACCCCTTCAGCCGTTAAGTTACTTATTTACGATACACTTGCCTCGAGTACCTTATTGCTTTTATAAAACGGTTACCACACAATAAAAATATTAAAGTAAAAAAGTATGTATTAGTGCAACTTTCATGAAGAAAAATCACTCAAAGCTATCCTTCCGCAAGAAAAAATAGTCTCTGACCGTGAACAGCAACAACGTTCCGATGTGTAGCTCAAATAAAAACAACAGTGTTGGGCAGTGATAGAACCATTGGGTGAAGCGGTCGGACGTGTTTTAACATTAATAAAGCACAGATATTGACCATTTAGAATCAAGGATTGGAAGTTGAACTAACCGTTTTATAAATATTAATTTCATTGTACTTTGTGAATAAGCTAAGCACAAACTATATTGTTAAAAAACATAATAAATGTCCGCTCATCACGTCATCAACTGATTCGTCTTTTAGAATCGCATACATGTACATTCTTTAAATCAACGGGCTGTTTCATAAGGAGTTAAAAATGAAAACACGCTGTATTCTTAATGTTAATTTTTTCAATGACACCGGTTAATCTAGCTTTATGAAACAGTCCATTGAAATGCTAAAAGTTCCGACAATCTTTAAACAAATAAAAAAAAAAAATCACAGAGTTCATAAAGAGTCACTGTTTTTATCTAGCAGATACACTAGCACTCCTGATAATCACTGGCAGTAAACTTTAGTTGTGAAAAGCTATAATTCTGCAAGATACAATTCCCTGTAAACACAGAAACACAACAATTTGTGTCTGAATAGACATAAGCAACAGCAGTGCTATGATTCTAGTGTTCCACCATAAACATTCAATACAATGATATTGTGACATCAGAGAATACATACTGACATTTAGGATAGGCTATATAAATTTGCAGCATATTTCTTGATTTATCGATCATTAGATAAAGTCATAAATATATATGTAATATAGTATACATTTATATAACTAGTACTGTATATGGCAACGCATTCTCACCCCAAGGCGTCACCTTTGACCATGCTTCAATATTTGACGTTTTAGGCGCCCTTTAGCGTCACTTACATGACGCGATCCTACGGCGTCATCTAACTGACGCTAAAGGAAAGCGTCAGTTATAGGACGCGGTTAGGTTTAGGTGTGGGGTGGGGGTAGGGTACACGCGATCCTAGGGCGTCATCTAACTGACGCTAAAGGGCGCCTAAAGCGTCAGATATTGAAGCATGTCCAAATGCTTCCCAAGGCGTCAGTTAGGTGACGCCTTGGGAGTGAGAATGGGCTGTATATGGATATACAAAATCGTTTACAAACATCGACACTTTCACAATGAACAAAAATATCCCCTTATAACAGCAGCTTTTATACTGAAAATTGCCAAAACAGTACCACATGTATATTTATTCTTAAATGTGTGCCACACACAATGTTAACACAAAAATCCCATAAACCCCTGCTTTGGTACTTTAATAACCATCCAACTGTGATAAAACTACTGATGATAAACCTATCAAGATTAGATGAAAAATGTGCAGAGGTAGGCACATAGTCTGTAATAAATCACACTAACATATCTGCAAATGCTCCAAAAAGATAACTGTGCAGTAGGCTATCTAATGGCTGAACAAGCACCAAAACAGGTATTTTATCTCACACTTGTGTATTTGATCGATTTATTTATTATTCGTTAAATACAGAACAAGGGGTTTGAAAAAAGAGGACCCAGGGCCAAATAAAAAAAGGGTTTCAGGCAAAACCCTTAATTTTTGTAGTTTTGTAATTTCTGATGCTCTGAAAGATGTCTTATTAGTTACATTGCGGCATCTACATTTGTTGTAAAGTCATACAAAACTGTTTTAATAAAACACCTATGGTCACTTTAGTTTGGGGAACACATATTCACTATTAACTATGACTTTTGCCTCAATAAACTCCTAATTTACTGCTTATTAAATAAATTAATAATGATAGTTAAGTTTTAAGGTAGGATTAAGGGATGTAGAATATGCATCTACTTTATCTACTTTATAAGTACTGATAAATAGCCAATATGCTATTAATATGCCAAATAATAAGCCACTAGTTAATAGTTAGAATCGGTCCCCAAACTAAAGTGTTACCCACCTAACTTATAGCACAACCATTTTGAAACAACAGAAACAAACCTCTTATGCCCTACAACATTAATGATTTAAGACATTTCAAATTTCTGTTTCCAGAAAAAAGTAACAATTCTTGGCTGCGCGTCAAAGTGTTATGGTCTTATTCAATCTAAAGCTGAGACTGTGAGAGATGCTTTCAGCTTGAGAACAGTTAAATAAGTCACACGCTGTTGCATAGACATCTTTGTATTTGTTTGTCAGAGCACAGAGAAAGGGTTTCCATGTCAACAATATGCTTACCAAAAAAATATATAATTTAAAGTATTAAAAAAACAAAACAAATGTCAATATAGTCCAATTGTCATTTAGCTATAAAGCTAAAATATTGTTTTAATTTTTGAAATCAAAAAATATATAACAAAAATCTAAATCTAGTCCATTTATCATACAAGTTATGAAGGTAAAGTATATACCACTAGATCCACTGTTTTGTAACAGCTATGAACAAATGTCCTTGATTAAAAGTTTCTATACATCCTTTAATAAAATTGAAATTAATATACTATGTTACGCAACAGTGCAAATACCACATTGAAAAATGAATACACTAACTATCAGGAATTATATACCGGCGCTATTGTGCATTATAAGGTACGAGACTAGATTGACCTAAAATAACAGTCATCTTGGTCCACGCATCCTAACAATTCATTCACCATACCTTAATCATTGGGCGCACCTGTACGTATCCTCACCTGAGACAAGGACTATGATTGCAAGAAAGTGATTATGGAGCTGATGAAATCCAAAGGCTTGTCAGCATGAATCCAGTGACTGGCATCTGGGATGTACTGGATATCAGCACTAGGAAAAAGTCGCAGGATTTCAGGGTAATCCTCCGAGCTAAGAGGGTAACCAAGGGGTCCATGGCAGAAAAACAGACACAGACTTAAATAAAAATGTATTTAACACACTTCAAACATTCAAAAGTGAAAGAGAAAAGTGACACTTAATATCGAACATTATTGATCTGACTGTAATGACGCTGTTATATGAGAACTGAACTGAGCTGGACGATGACATCAGTTTTAGCACAACTGCTTTATAGATGAAATTGACTATTTAATAATTGATGATTTTCACAACAGAACTGAATCGACACTGAACTGACTTGAATCATTTTCCTGTTATCACTGTGTAGCTGCTTTGAAACACTCAGTATTGTATAAAGCGCTATATATTTAATGGTGACTTGACTTGAGATTATATTAACCATAATGATGCACATGTGTACAAGTAGGGGTTTGAATAAAGTTATTACCTTATGTAGGCTGAGCTACTGCCACCTAAGAAAAGAGTTGGACCCTCATAGGTGGTTTTAAAATCAGGAAAAGCCATCATGTCCTCTAGGTGGTTTGAGATGGCTTCCAGGTTAATCCTCCAGCCATAGTCACCATTTTGCTCCTCCAGGTTAGTGAGAAGGAACTGCCGAACTGAACGCTCCTGCAAACAACATAAATATGGGTGAGTACATTGAAATGCCACTATAACAATGTTCCAGTTAACTATATACAGTATAAGGCGTGCATGTGGACACCTTAACTATCTTCCTGAGCTGGTCTTCAGCCAATCTTCGTGCTGTGGAACGTGGGATATCACTGGCTATCTTCACCTCTTTCATTGCCTGGATGTAGGCATGGAAATTGGTGCGGGCTGAAGTCTGAGAGGGACTAATATCCACAACAACCAACCTTTCCACTAAATCAGGCTGAATTAGAGAGACAAGATAGAAATGTAATAACATACTTAGCTGGATACATTTAATTGTAAACATCTTAAACATTTATTTATTTTTATTATAATGAAATAAATAGATTATATACATATATAATATATATACAGTATATATATATATATATATTACACACACACTCACACACATACACTCATAAAAGATTTGGGGGTCTGTAGGATTATAGGCCTATTTTAAGGTAAATAATTTGATCAAAAATATAGTACAAACAGTAATGTTATTTTATTCATTAATGTATTATTATTTTCTAACTAAAATTTTCATTTTATTTGCATTTTATGATGCAATTCATACATTTTTGCATTTAGGATTTTTTTTCAGGATTCATGACATGACATTTCTGACATTTTATAAGCCAAACTAACCTTGTCTTTTCATAAAAAGGTTGAATGATTAGATCTTTTAAGAGACTTATAGACCATATGTTTTTTTCCAGCATGTTGGTTGCACCACATGACTTTGATTTAGGTGACAAAAAAAAGTAAAATATGTATAATTTCACTGACCCTTTGGCCTACTATTAGATGTCAAGTTGTGGTTGCATGAAAGAAATTAAACAGGTGTTACCTGAGATAGAGCTGTCGTCATAGCAACCTTTCCCCCCATGCTGTGCCCAATCAGGACACACTTCCCAATGTGCAGCTGTCCAAGCAGATGCGTCAGATCGTAGGTCATTGTTTCGTAGGTCAATACAGGACTGTGTGGGCTTTTGCCATGGTTACGCGCATCTACTGTCAGCACCTAACTAGACAAAGAACAGTCAGGGCACTCGCACAGACTTTTCTGAACAGCCCAAAGCACCTCTTAACCACTGGAGAAACTGGAAGCATACCTTCCTGCCTGTCCGCTGCACCAGGGACTTGGCTATAGAGTAGAAGTTTGACTTGCTCCCAAATAAGCCATGAAGAAACACCAATGGCGTGCTGTCTACCGTCCCATCAAACACATCATAGGTCAAGTTTACAGCACTAAGAGAAAGCAAAGAAGACAAGGATAAAGACACTGTAAAAATTAAAAAATAAAAATAAAAACGGCAGTAATTTTAACTGTAAAAGACTGTAAAAAAGAATAATTTTACATACAGAGAAAACTGCATGACCTACCCTTACGTTTCATGTAATTTCACAGTAAAGTACTGTAGTACTGTACTGGAGATGTACCACAAGTAAAAATATCCAATCACATTTATTGATTTAGAGTGAATTTAGAGTGAAAAGCCATCAGCTGGCATTCCAAGAATTTTGCATGATACTTCACATTGGATTGTTTCTTTTCTCTTTTTTATCATTTATGTACACTAATGGTTTTATGTTCTATCTTAATGGTTATTGCGTTGTTATTATTGCTGTCCGTTATGGTGTTGTGTTTGGAATGTGTGCACCATCAATATATAAGTACTACCTCAGTTAATGTAAAAACTAACTTGTGATTAACTCTAATTCATATGTCTTTCTCTTTACCCTTTAGTATATTTTCAAGGTACAAAACATTTATTACAGTATTTATACAGAATTAGTCTGGCAACCACAGCAGCCAGTTTTTGGACACATGGCCTTGTTTATAAAATCATAAAGAGCTCTATCTATAAAAGACTTAATAGAACATTACATGTAAAATTAGCCTTTTGCACTGGTTTTACTAAGGTTTTAGTAACTGACAACTGGCTAATTTGCTAATGCGATACAGAATGTGTAGGTAACCACTATAAAATAAAGTAAATGGAACTTTATATTGCAACAGGCCTCTCACACACATGCATTCCTGAGTAATTAACAGTTTTTTTGAACCGGAAGATATAAAATGAAGCACCTGGCGGCTCTCAGTCGTGAGACTCCACTGCAAAAATCCCGAAATCCCGTTACAGATAAACATGTCGACGGGGCACAAAGCACTCCCCTGATCAAATTACGGCACAGGGCACTCATGGCAAAATTTGACATGCTAAAACCTGTGTCCGGACTTTATTCATTCATTCGACCGGGATTGGAGCCTTCAAAGGTCGTGATGATGTTTAGCTAACACTAGGGGAAACAAACAGCACTACAGTGTTGCCAGATCTCGCTGGATTTACAAAACAAACCCTGAATGAACGCTCTATCATTGAAACGTGCACAAAATAAATAAATAAATAATTCTGTTAAAATGCATTAATTTGTAAGAATCTAAAATGTATTTAGCAAAAGTAACTGAAATGTTTCAAATTTACAACTGCCAGCCAAATCAATACATTGCCTCTTGCATACACATCAATAATTACATCATTCGGGAGGTGAGAAATCACTTGAAAGCCTGCAATCGTGACTGTGTTTGATTGTGTTTTATGCTATATACCTATTTTGTGACATTTATAAGCAACTTAACAAAAAACAACAACCCGAAAGTTGTACAAAAGAAGCGGTCATGGCAACACTGCCGCACGAAAACCTAGACGTGATGCGTGATGTCACTACGTCGTGCGTCTATAATGCCTACTGCAATTGTAACGATATTCAAATTTACGATACCACACCTTTAGAAATAATATTTAGTGTATTACATGTGAACGTGCACAAGAGGCAATCGTTTAAAGTAGAAAAAAATAAAACGGAGAGAAAAATGTATCCTGACACGTAGGCTATTGCTTATGGACCCATATTACCCAGATAGTGGCGCCACAGACCAAGACAACAGACTTCATGATGCATTTGAGCAACCAAACGATTTTCATGCATTACAAAGAAAAGAACAGATTGTTCAGAAATATTTAAAATATGTATTAGAAGCTGAAAATTAAATAAGAAATGCTTGCATTGAGATTATAGCCACCCATTATTTCAGTGTCTTATTTCAGATGAATAGCACTTAAAGGCATTCACCCAAAATTAAAATATCAGTAGTCTATTAATTTAAATTGAACTTTTATTACTTCAACATTTCCAGTTATACGTAGGCCTATAGCAAGACAACACATAACCCTAAGGCAAAACATCTGTCTAAGGAAATGAGAAGTTTTGGATTTTATGTATCATCAGCTGAGCCTGACATCAATCCCGATAATAGATCATAAATGCTGAGATGGATGAGCAAAAGATTTTCATATCTTGATCACAAACAAGCTCTCATCAGCGTTCTCGATTATAGTTTACTGGCACAAGCTTTTCAATATGATGACATTAAATAAATAAATCTGACAATACAATTTTACTTTTCTCAACAAACAAAAGAGGACATATGTTTTGATATGCAGAACGTAACATTAAAGGGGAAGTCTTCGCACAATGGAATGGTTAAATGGACAAAAATTTCCACAGCAAGACAATAGGCACTAATGAAAAGAAGAAGCACGCAATCTTATTAAATTGCATTATGGGAAGTTTAAAGACCATGTTTATGCTTTAAGGGTTTGTAAGAATTAAAATAAAATAAAATAGGCCTATAAAATAAGTAGATTATTTAATAATACAAATAATAATTTATTACTCCGCTTTCACAGAGAGTGCTTAAGCCTGGACTTACATGTTTCAGCTGTTTTAGCTGAAAGCAACTTGCAGTGGCATATCTTAAAATCTGTCACTGCCATTGTTTTGTCTCAAAATGCATGTTTTATTTCAAATGCATGATAATAAAAGCTATGTCAATGGCCTAATTGAACTAAGGCCTAATTCTGGCTTAATCTCTGTCTAGAAGGCTACCGTGTGCAGTCTTGAAAATTAATTTAAAACATGGACAACTAACTCTTCTAAACGACAGAAAACTATAAACATGTTTTCACAATTTCCTGGAAATAGTTATCCTGCACCTTAGTTTGTCATTGAGGGTTGTGTGAACATTCCTCTCTCTTATTTCAGACAGCTTAAGAGGGCCAAGTTACTGCTTTTTGTTTCTGTGCATCTAAAGAGAGCGTGACAAAGTGAGAGCTTTCCTCCATGTCTGCTGCTATAGGCAACACAGCAGTGGGGATAAAGCAGCAAAACAACAGTAGCCATGGTGAGGAGGACACATGCTGGAGGGAAACTCACAAGATGAAAGTACTGAATAATACATATTTGATATGTGGTTTAAACGTTATCTCTGATCCCCTCCCCTATCCGGCTAAACTAGTCTAAACTGACTTGAACTTACACGCCCTAGAAAATGATTTTCTATAACTGATACAAGCAACACAAATAATGCATGTGATAGCCTACATTGAGACATTCACTAAAAGAAAACGTAATTGTAATGTGGGGTTGTTAGTGAAATTACAAGGAGGTGTGATGGTATCACGGATAAAACGCAAATATTTAATTTGCCCCAACAAACATCAAATGTTGCTGCTTTCTCTTTGTAATGTGGTGTCCTTCACTTTCGGAGTAGAATAAAATGCTCGCGAAACTCGAGGTGTGACATTTAAGCACACTTCTGCCACGCAGCCTCGGTAAACATAAGCAAATCTCTTAACCCACTTTGGTTTCGGTCACGTGACGTCTCACAGGTTTCATTTTCAGCGCTGCAGGTGAAGAACAGCCAACAATAATGGGCTTTGCAATATAATTCCATATTATCCCATTAGATACCACCATGAAAAAATGCTTCGTTTAAGTCCAAGATGACTTTACTAAACTGTTATTTGAAATAGTCTTGACATTATGGATTGCGTAGTCAATTGGGATAGGCTGGTGTTTACATAGCCTAACTAAGCTTATTATCATATCAATATAGGAAAACATTTACAGTAATAGCCCTATTACTGTAATACTGGTTATTTATGTAACAATATTATTATTATAACAAAAACACCTAGGTTATGACCAAACACCATCAGGGCCAGATGCTTGTCTGTTCAGTACAACGTTTTTGCTGGAACTCATTAAAGATTTTTATTTAAGGTTTTTATTGCATTTTAGAGTGCCTGTCAAGACTTTATGACAGAAGTCTCTTCTGCTCACTTAGGTGCACTTTTCTTGAGAAAATGACAATTTGATGGATAATTTATATATAGGCTATTCTTTCTGTAATCACATTTTGGTAATGTATTAATTAGAAGCATTTGAGTGAAATGAGTGAAGGCATTATTCCACAGACGTGATCCATATACAACCATGCCATTGCCGATTGGCCGCATTATTGACAAGCAGGGATGCTATAAAAATGATAAACTAGTCAAAATCAAGTTATATGGAAAGTCTTGTTGAATTTCACTTGTGCTACAATCATTGATTTGGGATTCTAAGAAAGAAAGAAAGAAAGAAAGAATGTTTAAAATGTTTTTTTTTTTTTTTTTTTTTTTACATGGACATGGTTTCACTACTGCCAGGCAACGAAGTTGCATATTTGTGTCAAGTTTTATACCTTTTCACATGCAATTTCCAAATAAAACAGCATATGATGAAATGTAATGTTAAAGCTTTTTGATGTTATTTGAAATTTGCCCTCTGTTAGCCTACTTTTTCTTGATTTCTTGAAAATAATGAAAGAATATTGCTAAACAGCCATTTTTCTGTGACCTTCTCCCAAGCGGGGAGGGAATCTTCAGCTCACATTCCTCAGATAATCAACACTGCAGGATGAGATAACGCTACTAATGTAACCTCGGTTTCCTGAGATACAGGAACGAGCATCGCGTCATTCACTGGCGCGTATGTGGAAACTCTGTTTTCTCTGAATACTGAATGCCTGATTTGGATCATGTCTGTGCACTTGCACAGACAAATGGACTTTGAGTCTGCTGACTGCCTTTTTAAGTAGCACAAAATTGTAATTTAGTCAGATGTTCTTGACTGAACAGTAGTAGTGTCAACTCAGGCAAATGCAATGTAGCACGGTAGAATGCGCAATGCTCGTTCCTGTATCTCAGGGAAGCGAGGTTATAACCAGAGCGTTCCCTTTCAATACAGTTCACTTCATATTGCGCCACTTCACATTGCACAATGGACAGGGCCCAGGAAGGGACCGTGCTGGGACAAGGCAACCCGGCCTCCTGGCCCCTCTGAGAAATCTGACAATCAGGTCATGTTTCCCAATCAAGAGGATTTGTTTCAAAGTTATACTTCTGAATGACCGTCTCAACAGAGTGCGGTTCAGAAATCTCAAGTCAAGGATGGGCCTGAGGCCGTCATCCTTCTCTGGGAGGTGGAAGTAGCGACTGTTTGTTTTTTATCTGACTCGTTTTAAAAGCAGAAGGATGTCTGGGTGCACATACCACTGGTGGGGTGGACCCAGTAAGGATAACAAACACAGCACCTCCAACACCCGGACTGGATAGGGGGTTGGGAGGTGAACACATGGTCGTGTGAGAGTGGTCCGGCCTTTGTGGGACTTGACCCCCTCCTCTTTGTGCCCAAAGCATTAATGACTGCTTGGGCTCCCCAAAATGGAAAGTGCTCAGCTGGGTGGAAGTGCTGTTTCACCTTGGGCTGGGGCTGAGCATGTGTAGGATCTAGCATGATACTGAATTAAGGTGACTAGAAGCAGCAGAAGAACATGACTAGGAAGTAGCGCATAGCCTTCAATGCCCTCCAGGCCGCCGTGAAATGCCAACCCGATCTCACGGGAATTCGTACGAATTTTACGAGGTGGCTAATTCGTAAAAAATTGTGCGACCTCACTCGTACGAATTAGTACGATTTAGCTAAATCGTACATATTTTACGAATTAGCCAATTCGTATGAATTCGTACGAATGACCTACCCCTGACCCCGCCCCTAAACATAACCGTCACGTGGGTTTAGACAAATCGTACAAATTTGTACGAGTGAGGTCGTATGAATTACTACGAATTAGCCACTTTTGAATCACTCGTACGTATTCGTACGAATTGGTCGTGAAATGCTCAGTAAGCAAGAACCGAATAGGTCCGAGGAAAAAAACAGAAAAAATATATCTGTGTGATGGTGGCTGTATAAATCCAAGACACGTGACACAGAATGAATAATCAAAGAACTTTAAGGAACACAGAAGAGAATACTGAAACACAAACACAAAACAGTGAAAACTAAGGGCTTATGTACACAGAGATGATTGTTAACTAAAGTAGAAATCATAGTAACAAACAAAAGAGAACATGACATTGAAACTTAACTGTGAATACGTATTTAAAGCAGTGAATAATAAACACAAGAAGTACTTTAACAAAGGTTATTTTAATGTAGACTACTCTGTGCCACTACTAGCAGGTATGGAAAAGTTCAAGGTTAACTTGACAACTGTGACAAAAAAGTTCTCAGGGAAGCTGTTAGAAATTTGATCTCTTAAAGGGATAGTTCACCCAAAAATGAATATTAGCCTGTGATCTACTCACCCTGAAGCCATCCTAGGTGTATATGACATTTCAGACGAAAACAATCTGAGTTCTATTAAAAAATATCCTGGCTCTTCCAAGTCTTATAATGGGTAAGAAAAATATCCATATTAAAAACTTTATCGACTAAAATATCCAGCAGACAGCCGTATAAGTCGACTTGTCACTTGACGATGTGGCTGTGTATCACATAGGAGGCCATTTGCAGGAAGCTTTAGTTATTTTAGTTGATAAAGTTTTAAATATGGATCTTTTTCTTACACTAACACATCGCTTCGCTTCAGTGGGTCTTTATTAGCTCGCTCAGAGCCGTTTCAAACACTTTTATCATGGATGGATAGGGTTTAAAATATAGGCCTACCCATTGACTCCAATTGTAAGGCTCGGAAGAGCCACATGTTTTAATATAACTCCGATTGTATTCATCTGAAAGAAGAATGTCATATACACCCATGGCTTCAGTGTAAGTACATCAATGGCTAATTTTCAGTTTTGTGTGAACTATCCCTTTAGGCCTATAATAGCAGAACATACACCATATAGCCCTAACTCTTTGTTCTAGTTAATCTCTTTGTTTGTCTTGTTTTCTTTGTCCTGAAACTGATCGTTAAAATGATCTCCCTAAATAATTTGTTCCGTAAAAAACACTTTTACCTAACTTTTAAACTCTTCCTGTTCTCTACACCAAAAAACAAACAGCATTTATTTAATAGGCTACTTACTGTTGTTAACAATGGATTTGTTATAAACACACACACACACACACACACACACACACAATACTGTTTGTGTTGCTGCACGTAAAAATGTATAATTACAATAGATGCATAATTACATGAATGTTAAATTCAGGATTGAATTGCAAGGAAACTTTACAGCAAATACACCAGGTGAGTCATTTTCCTACGCGGAGTTCCCCTCCCCCACTCTAACTGGTGGAGACGAAGGCGTATCCCGGAGAAGCATTGTCTCTATGGGAACAGCATTATCGAATGTTGGCTTGTGTTAATATCCCTTAGGGTTATGTGTTTGCAATTTACCATGGTTTCATGGCCTGTTGCCTGACTTTCCAATATAATTCACAACCAAGAGCCTCTGTTTCAATCTATATGTTTCAATCTAAGTCTTGTGTTTAATGCAGTGTGTGGAACTTAAATTTTAATCCAAAATTTCAAATCTAAAAGCTAAAACTTCCTTGATGTTTTGTTTGCTGCCCAATATTTATCAGCAGGATGGATCTATTCAACACGTAGAGCATTAATTCTGTTTTTATTGCAGTTACAATGGAATTAAATACATACATATATACTGTACATATAGTAAACTAAACATTCTGTGTCTTATAAATGTACTTTTCAATCCCCATCCTACTTCCCCTTGTCATTTATTCAGACTGTTTTTTTTTTTGTCGGATCTGTCTGCCACCACCATTGGCAAACAGTACAGCTTGCATAAGGTTTGTATGCTGAGTGGTCTCTCTCAGAATGTGTTTTCACGTTACTGCCCCAATTGTAGAACAAATGGTCAAACAGGTACAACCACTCCAACAGTCTTTTGTGTGCTGTAACTGACCATTTGTTTTATTTACCAGCTGTAATATTAAACTATTTACCACATGTTATGTGTTAACTATTTCATATTTCCACAATCAATGTTGATTGTATAAACGTAATACAACTGACACATATTAGTCACAGTAATAAAATTGTTATGAAATGCATTCAATCTTTAATCTCTGTAAAAAAAGATAATAAAACAATTGTACATAATAAAACAATTGTACAAAATGTGAGGAACTATTCAGATGTCCTCAAGAATAGACACAACTGAAGCCTAAATTTATATATATATTCCATTTCTTTGTCTAATGGAATTTTCCTAAGCAAATACATGTAAAGAGCTAAAGTCTTCCTCTTCCTGTCTACATAGATTTGCGATAGACAAGCGACCACTTTAGCAAAACAAAATGCACTTCTCTACTTATTGAAGTTTGCTCGGCAAAGAATACAGTTATGCATTTAGGTATGAAGACATGAAACAAAAAAAGGTTGACCAAAAAACAGTTGAACAAAAAATGTACACAACAGCAAATAAAATAATATCAAACAGGAAATGTATAAACACAAAAATCCCTAATAAGTAAACCTACAAAACCAGCCCTTATCAGACACACACATTCACGCACGCGCCCACGCACACACACCAGTCAGTCGAAAAGCAAATATTGACAGCATCGTATGACCCTTCATTGCGGAGTCCATTGAGAAGTATCTTCACCCTTTGTGTGAGATCTTCAAATCTTTCTTCTTTGTTTTTCCCTACAAGCAACCAATGTTTTAAACATAGTCCTTCCTGTCATATCCACCATTGGTAGAGCGTGGAGCGGAGTAGCCCATTCTCGGTGGCTTGTAGTTCTTCTCCCGTGGAGGACAGGTGCAGCACAGCAATGCTCCTCCAATCAGTAACAGAACAGCAGCAGCAAACCCTATGTAGATGGATGCCCCGATCTCTCTTTGCTGAGCGGGGGACAGTAACGGGTTGTAGAAATCACGAATGATTTGGTTTGCAACCCAAGCCGCTGGAATGAGCTCCAGGATGCCGGCAAGAATGAACATGATGCCGGAGACGATCATGACCTTAGCCTTGGCTGCTTCATCCTCGATACAATTGGTGCATTTGGCGCCCATGATGGAGATCATCACGCCCAGAATGGCCAAGATGATGGCGATGATCGACATGGCTCTGGACGCCTGCATGTCCTGCGACAGCGCTAGCATGGAGTCGTAGATCTTGCACTGCATCTGTCCGGTGCTCTGTACAACACAATTCATCCACAGACCTTCCCAGATGACTTGTGCGGTGACGATGTTTGCGCCAACGAAGGCAGAGACACGCCACATAGGGAGAGCGCAAGCGACAATGCTAATGATCCAGCCGATAATGCCCAGGGCAATGCCCCCGATCTCCATTCCCATCGACATGATGCCTGTTAGGTCAACTTTATTTACCTATAGGAAAAGGAGATATTAGTTAGGAATGAATTTTATACACAAATAAAAGCAGTACTTTAGAAGTTTTAAAAAGGGTGGAAGATCACTCACCAAGTGCTAAGACGTTAATGTAGATGTAAGCGTCCAAATCCTTCCTGTCTTTGTGTAGCCTGCGAAGGTGCTTTTGAAGCCAAGCAGCCTTTATATTCCCAAAGAGACAGGTGCACTGGAGGAGGACCTTAGTTTGATGACATAGGTAGATGTAATACAGGTTTTGTACACGTCACCTGCCTTCTATTGCCACAGCGGGGAGATGAACAATGCGTTGGTTTTTTCTTTCATTGGAAATTCAATTCCTGCTTACTTTGTGTGAAGAGAAACAGGCTCAGTCAGGGAAAAGAACCTGGAAGCACAGGTCAATAATCAATGGGGTGGAAAAGAGGGATAATATTTCACACTGAATCCATTAGTGATGTCGCATTGGATCTCAAACTTTCTTTGGATTCACCATAGCATTGATTATTGGATCTTATTGACTGACTTTATATTGCTCATTGGGATTTTAACAGAGATTAATCCATTGTAACTTGTCTTCTTCTTAGTCTTCAGCATCATAAAACAGGGGGAAATGAACTTTGGTGATGTAACTAGAGGCTATCTTAGTGTCTGAATGATAAGATGTCTTTAAAGCTATTAGCATGTTGTGGAAACAACTCTCAAATGTTCTTAGGAAGTGCTGTGATTAGTGGCATTTGCATTAAAAAGCCTGCATGTTAGTCAGAAACACTGAAAATATAAATATAGACCATTTCACAAGATGTAAACAACACTGGTCCAGAAACACTTCCTGTTTCAGTTTGTAACTGTTTTCTTTATTTCACATGTAAAGAAAACATCTTAACGATGTTTGTTTAACTTTTTGATTCAGTTCTAAATGTTCTGTTGGTTGTATTTTATCTCAGCTTTTATGTAGTGTTAAAAAACTGAAACAGGAAGTGCTTCTGGACCAGTGTTGTTTACATCTTGTGAAATGGTCTATAAAAAGTTTAGGCCTTCTTTTCCCCCTTAGACAAATTATGTCAAGCGGTAATAGCAATAACACGTCATTCTGTAATTCTTAAACATCATTTTAGTTAAATAGGCTATATGCGTTTTCCTGAAATTTAAACTCGCGACTGACACCTGTGGCCAAAAAACAGAACTGCTCTTCCTTTATGCTCGCTCTTGCAGAGCGCGCTCGTACGTGCACACTTCACAAGTCATCTGCTGCAAGGAGGTCAACATTATGTTTATAGAGGTAAGAACAGTTAAATACATATATTGTTTGAGATAAGTGTTCCGTTTGCGAGTGTAGGCTACTTGCTGACTAGCAGTGGTGGGCTGGCAGAGTGATCTGAGGGTTTTCACCTTCACCGACGTCACGTTCTGGGCGGTAACCCGGATGAGCGGCCATTATGGAGGCACTCGGATGTAAACAACAGCATCTACTACACTGTTAATGTACACTGAACACATTGTTACACTAAAAAAATCCGTGGTAGATGCGAACTCATATAGAGAAGGACCTTATTCATTTGCATAAAGATGGGCATCGGCCAGTTTTTTATCGCGCTGCATTTTTTCAAATGTAGCGCCGCCTGGATGTTTTCATAGATGTCTATGCCTATGGGATGCTTTGCGGAAAATACGTAACATGTCTTGAACGCGCACTTGCAAAAAACAGATTCAGTATTGCTCAAAATAAAAAACGGTGAAATGCAAACTCAAATATTGTGCAAACCTGCGATAATTAAATGTTAAATTTCACAAATGTCTTTGTTTCTGATCTTCGATGACCAATTCAGCCATACTAAGCAAAAATGACTATACTATCACGTGGTGTGTTACATTTTTTGGTTTTTATATGCTGAAGTTCGTTTTAAACGCCCTTCTTCTGCATCGGATTCTTCTACAATCAGAATGTCAGCACAGCTGAAAGGTTTGTTTGAGCTGCTCCGTCTTCTGTAACGTTACAGGTATGAATTTGCATTTCATTTCAGCTTGGCTTATTCAATTCACTTTTGACGTGAAAGGGCCTTTGCATAAAAAAGCAGGTCAATAGTATTCACTGGTCACTGGGGCGTGACGCTTTTCAAAACCTCTTGACTGAAAAATTTCTTCAAATAAATACACTGTAACTGTTTCAATTTCTCAAAACCTACAAATATAGTCTTTCCACCTCAGTTTACGTATATTAGATCGCTGCACGTCATTATTTTTTTAGACAAGTGAATACTTATGTGATGTACAAGTACAAAGTTTAAGAAGATTAAAAAAAGATGTATCCATAATAAAAGTTTAAAAAGGGTTACTGAAACATTATATCACCACACTGTTTTACACTGTTACCATTCTAACCATCTTTCAACATTTCAATTAAAACGTTGTTTAAAAGATAGGGCCCCTGCCCAGGGTTAAGCAATCAGTGTGGAAATCTCTGAATACATTATCACGCTCAACATAATGATACAAAATCTGAAATGAATACATACAGGTTTAATATAATTGTGTTTTTAATAATAATCAGGAATTCAATTATAATTCAGTTAGACTTATTCAAATATAGATATTCTAATTATTCAGTGATCAAACAGAACTGCAAACACGTAACTGTGCACAATATATTTAATCTGACGAAACTTTGGGAGGTGCCTGCACATAGTCTCATTATTTCTCTGTTGTGTTGTCCAGTAAAACTTGAACTTAGGCCTTGAATCCAGTCTCGTGTTTGTGTCTCTCAAATCCACTTCACTGTAGATTCACAGTATTTTTTAACACATAGACTATAGAAAAAAAAAAAGATGTGGCTGTTGTTCATTGCTAAAGAGTTTCAATGAATAAGAATGAGAACGCCACTGAAATAAACATTAAACACAACTAAACATTAACAGAGTAGATTACAATTTAAGCAAAAGTATAAACATATTGGTACAACACAAGATTTTCCATTTCATTATTAGATAGTCCATTTTTATTATTTTAAGTCAAAGTATAAAAAAATATTATTTCCCGAACAACTTTGTTAAAAACTGTCAAAGAAAATAAAGCAAAAATAGCAAGTAAAAACACACACAAGACTACAAAAATAAAACCACTGACTTTTTCCCTTTATGAAACAACTGACAATTCGATTTATGCAACTTTGCTAAAATATGCTAACAAATAAAATAAAATTTGACATTGACAATGGACAATGAACAAAAAAGCATGTAGAAAAGTTCACATGGAGAAAAAGTAAACAAGATTTTTTGAGTCACGATTATCTTTATATGAAAGACTGACCGTAGAATTTAAAAGTCCTCAGACATAATCTCTCTTGTTGTAGGTGCTTGGAGCCACTGAGTGGTGGGCTGAGTAGGCTATACGACTCTGTGGCGGGTACCTCGTCTCCTCTTTAGGTGGGCAACTGCAGCACAGAATGGAGCCTCCGACCAGCAGCAGAGCTGCCGCGGCCCAGCCGAGGTACAGCGAAGCCCCTATTTCCATCTTCTGTGCTTCGGGAACAACTGGGCTGTAGAACTCCAAAATAACGGTGTTTGCTGACCAGGACACGGGAATAAGCTGCATGACCGCAGCGGTTATGAAGGCGGCACCAGAGGTGATCATCACACGAGCTTTGGCACCTTCATCCTCAATGCAGTTGGTGCACTTGGCCCCTACTATAGCGACAAAGAGCGCTAGGACACCCACGATGATGGCCACCACCACCAAAGCGCGGGCCGCCTGTAGGTCTGCAGGAAGAGCCAACATAGAGTCGTAGACTTTACACTGCATCTGTCCGGTGCTCTGAACCACACAGCTCATCCAGATTCCCTCCCAGTACACCTGTGCTGTGACGATATTGGTGCCGATGAATGCCGTGACCCTCCACATGGGCAAAGCACAGCACACAATGCTGAGAAGCCAGCCAAGAACCGAGAGCGTGACGCCTATTAACTCCAAACCAAAAGCTGCCATGTCTCCGCACTTTCTGCTTTCAAATTCGCTTGGATCTCTCTTGTGCTCTCTCTGTTCACTGTGGCTTTCACTTCGTCTGAAGAAGTCCTTGAGACAATTACATCAGAAAATCCCCAAAATCACCAAAGGACTCAAGGATGGAGGTGGGTGTTGACACACTGAATCTCCTCTTCAAGGACGGCGGGAATGTTCTGTCCTGATAGAAGTTTCCACTTGTTCTGAGAAAAAGGGCTGAGTTACCTGGGTTCTGCATCAGATGATAAGGCGCGATCTTAGTATTGGTTAGCGCCCTCATAAAAAGGGGAGCTGCTCTCTGTGTAGCACTTAGACAATGTAGCCTCCGGTAAGTTTGTTTAAGCCAAAGGTTGGGACTATTTACCAATGTTAATAGATAACCCATTGTAGATGTGTAAAAATTGCTCTTTAATGGACAATCATTGACAACACCAATGTAAACACCTTAGTAAGTCTTAAAGTAGTAGCCTGGTTCACTGAAAAATAGTCAATACATTATCTATAAAAATATAGTTGTTGTCCTAAAAAGCCAAAATTCCATAATTAGATTTAAATGTTTCTTATGTAAAGGCGTAAGAGCTGCAAAGGCTATGGAAAATTCCTGGAAACTTAAAATAAGCAGTATCTGTTCAATCTAATCAAATCAATATTTCCGTTAATGTTCGTAAACTTCCTCAATGAAATAAAGATTTATGGCGCCTTACTTCTTAAGCAGTAAGAAGAGTTTAAACATACTAACTACTGAATTCAAAGTCCTACATCAATCTAGGTCACCTTTGATTGCAGGCCATAAAGTCTAGCCATAAAACATGTATTTAGAGAATTTCAGATCTCCATTTCCTGGTTGAAAGTAAAGAATTACATTTAGTGACATAAGAAAAAAAAGTAAGTGAAATTATAAGAAACTGCTACATCCATATGTGTGTAACAGTGCGTAATTAAGAAACTTAGACAATGCTGTCTTTAGGAAAAATTAAAGCGCACGTTTTAGTTTTAAAAAATGCAAAACTGCTGAAAGAGACCAGTAAAGTGATATTGTGGTAACCCATTATGTAATGTCAGTATCTGTAGTAGCCTTTACAGTTACAGATAAATACATGATTCTTCAGATGTGTACACACTTATGAAATGTGGCAATGTTGAATATCAGAATTTACTCTTGTGAATGAATGTTAGCTACTTGTGCTGCCTACAAAAGCAGCAGTAACAGAATTGTTCAACCAAAGCACTAAAACTTTACTCATGCATGATTACATTACATTGACACAGAAACACAGCCACAGAAAATCTTAGTTTATGGCTTTCACAAAATTATCATGGGAATGGAGATGAATTAAGTTTTTTTTTTTTTTTCCTAAGTCATTACATTCATTTTCATTGTATGGCATTTTTTCCATATCAAATTAATAATCAGAACTTTATTTACTCTACAGTACTTTCGTTTTATGTTGTATTAGTTTAAACTTGTTATATTTTGGTATCTAATACAGGATTTGTGTATTTAACATTCACTATGCATTCCTGATAAGACAACAACATAAGAGAGAAGGGGTCACCTGCATGTTTAATACATCAGTAAAACATGTTTTTGCATTGAAGTGAATGCGCGTGGGAGATTTGGGGTGTAAATACATCACTGGCATCTGAACCATTTGATTAATCCACCAAGTTGATAATTAATCTATTTGACACAAGTAACTTTAACTAGATAGGCTATTCAACATGGCTTTGTCAAATAGGTAAAACTGGACACACACACAGAGAGAAGTTAAAGAAAGATGTTAATAAATGTTGTAGCACTAAATCCGAAACCCATATAACATTTTATGTGAAGTAAAAAATAAAAGACTTGTGATATTGCCAAGTTACAAGACAGCCCGAAACCGGTTTGTGTTTGATAGGCGAGTATGACATCATCGGCAGTATGTTGGCGTGTACTTCCCTCTCAGAGAACACTGATTATATTTAAATGAGTTTCTGTGAGGCACGGCAGTGGTCATGACTAATGAGTTTCAGTGGAAAGATGTTGATGTTGTCCAGTGCTTCCTGTAGCAGTAGCACTCCATTGGCCACCACTTTTGAAATAGTTGTAGCTTAATTATTTCCAGAGTATTATTTCCTTTTTTTCTTTTTGGTTACAGGTTGAATTGCTTATCTACATTCACGAACCAGCAAGTATAGGCTACAAAACATTTACAACATTTCACAATGTTGCTTTTTAATTAGTAGCCTAGCCTAAAAAACATTCAAGAAAAACTAAACCTATAAAATATAAACCAAAGTAAAACGTTACAGAGACTAACAGAAAACGTTTTGAACATGAGTAGCCTCAGACATCACGTTATTTGTTTTATTATAAGTGTAGCCTACTGAAATAGAGACTTTGAACTGTCACACGAGACTTACTAACTAACTCAAACTAACTCGCTTGCAAAGGGGGTGTAAAAACCACACTTAAGACACGTAGGCTAAACTTCCAGTCACAATAAATGATATAATTAAATTTGTTTTGAAAGTATACTGTCTATGAGTTTCCCCTTCCATTTCCTGGTTGTTGCGATATGTAGCCACTAGTGGGCATACATTTACCATACAAAACATCTTCCAAGCACATGTAACGCATAATAAGCATTTATTGCTACAATGAAATATTCAGTTGACTTATAAGTAGGCACAGGCCTACAAATGATTAAACTGTAGGCTAAGTTTACTTTCTGAATTGCTAACTTTTGAGTAGCCAAGTCTATCACAAGGATGTCTCTGTTTGACTCAAACATCATGTTATTTTTTCTGAATGTGATTGAAACAGGGGAAGATTTAAGGAAAACAAACACACATGAAACACCCTTTGCCTGGGACACCATTTTTAATTTTCCGTTATATGTTTTTATTCCTTTCATTTGCTGTTCACAGTGTAACGCCATCTGTAATTCTTGCTATATTAGAGCCGCGTTTATAGCCTATCATTCAAGTGTAGACCATTTCACAAGATGTAAACAACACTGGTCCAGAAACACTTCCTGTTTCAGTTTGTAACTGTTTTCTTTATTTCACATGTAAAGAAAACATCTTAAAGATGTTGTTTTAACTTTTTGATTCTGTTTTAAATGTTCTGTTGGTTGTATTTTATCCCAGCTTTTATGTAGTGTTAAAAAACTGAAACAGGAAGTGCTTCTGGACCAGTGTTGTTTACATCTTGTGAAATGGTCTATAGCCTATATAAATTTGATATTTTATTATTTATTCCTCTGTTAATGTCAGTTAAACCGACTTGTTGCTGCAAGGATCTGAGCTGTTCAGTCTTGCCCAGGCAAATTGTCAACATTCACCTGTTCTCCGGCAGAAAACCAGTTTGACCAGTTCCAGGTGGGTGCAGGTGCATTTGGGCGGCTCCTCCCCTACAGTGTCAGCTAACTCTTGAGAAATAGTTGCCATGGGAAATACTAACGTGCTGAGAAAGACACTTTGTAAATATAGCATATTTGTTATGTCATGTGTCATAGGCCTATCCAAGTAAAAAGTTTTATTGAGAAATATTTGACCTGAAGTGCGATGAGATAATGGCCAAGTTACGGAAAACATTCCTAAAATCAGTTACGCGTCTGCTCTATTGTTGTGTCATATGAAACCAGCCGCCACTTTCTTGATATTTTGTTGACCGAGGGAGAGCAAACTTTAACAAAGAAATATTATCAAGGTCCTACTGTGTTTTCCTAGAACAAAATCCCACACTGTGAAATGCTATTTGTTGAATTTGTGTTAAATAATACAAAGATTTTTTTTAAGTAGGCCCATGTTTTACAAGAAAATACTAGGCTATTTAGTCTTTTTACTTCAAAATGTCATGTTTAATCCAATGTGTTGCTTGCCGTTTCTTTGTAATCATTGAAAATAGTTGAAAAGTTGGCTAAATCCTACACCAATTATATATATATATATATATATATATATATACACACACACATTCATATATCCACTTAGTATATGTTTAAGAATAAAAATAATACAATAAAAATATAATAAAAAATAATTTATTTTATTCATTATAAATATTTCTATTTCCCTAATTAATTATTTGAATTATATAAGAGATAAGTAAAATAAATATATAATAAATAGAATATTTCTTTTATAATTAATATAATTAAGAAAAACATAATAATATTTTTAAAATAAAAATGGATGTAATTTAATTTATTAATACGTTGTATATCAGTTTATATTAGTTTATTTAGTGACGAGTTTCGACTGCCAGCACAGCACTTATTTCACATCGTTCCACAACATTTATTGTGTGTGTGTTCTAGGAAAATGATGATCTGATCACTTCCTGTAAGGGGCACTTCCTGTCTTTTTGGTCACTTAATTGTTTTCATACTTCTGCAGTACACATGTTCTTGATATATTTCACAGACCCCTCCATAGATTTTATTACATAGGCTATATATTTTAAAATTTTGAAGTGTAAACAATAGAGTAAACCATATAAGGAGCTGTGTCCGCAATGAAAAAATGTCAAGGGAATGACTCATTCAAGTCTAGATTCGGTCGGATCCCATGAAGTAACCACAAAACCAGCAGAGCAGGTAATCCGTTAAATCCCGCCTCCAACACAGGCTCTTTAAAGCATCAGCCCCAAAAAGTTCAGCACACACCCTCTGAGACATACACTTGTAAGCAGTGCGAAGAGAGCTTCCTCAAAACAACAACAACAACAAAAAAAGAGAGACAAAGGTCATGGTGTCTGCAGGGCTTCAGTTACTGGGCATCGCCCTGGCCATCATAGGATGGGTGGGTGTCATTTTGGTCTGCGCTCTTCCCATGTGGAAAGTTTCAGCTTTCATCGGGAATAACATCGTCACGGCACAGATATCATGGGAGGGAATCTGGATGACCTGCGTCGTGCAAAGCACCGGACAGATGCAGTGTAAAGTCTACGACTCCATGCTGGCCCTCAGCTCAGACCTTCAGGCCGCCCGCGCTCTCACCATCATTTCAGTCGTGATCGGGATCCTGGGCATCATGCTGGCGATTGCTGGCGGCAAATGCACCAATTGCGTTGAGGACGAGAGCTCCAAATCCAAGGTCGGCATCACTGCCGGGGTGATTTTCATCATTGCTGGGGTGCTGTGTCTGGTACCGGTGTGCTGGACGACCCACGTCATCATCCGGGACTTCTACAACCCCTTGGTGTACGAAGCACAAAAGAGAGAGCTGGGGGCAGCGCTTTACATCGGCTGGGGGGCCTCTGCCCTGCTGATCATCGGAGGAGCTTTGCTCTGCTGCAACTGCCCACCAAAAGAAACTGGAAAATACACCGCCAAATATAATGCTACCCCTCGCTCTGAAGCCTCTGCACCCTCTGGCAAAAACTTTGTGTGAATGATCTACTCTAAAATGGACTCTACAGTGCCTATTATGTTTACAATCTTGGTTTGTCCAGGATGTAGCGGCTCAAAAAGAGTTTGCAGCAGGGATCATGAGGACTTGAAAAGCAGTCAATGAAACACTGATGCTACAAGTTTTCTAAATTTTTCATTACATATATATATATATATATTCAACAAAAAGACAACAAGGACAATGGGGAACCACATTTTTAAATATGCAGTTAAAGGAGGCTAATCTGGAAATATGTATTAAGTATGATCAAATTTTCCTTTCTAACTACTGTTTAATGTGGTCATGTGTGTTTTTTTTTTTTCAATTTTTTTTTTTTTGCAAGTATTTTTCAACTTTTATGAAATTGTAAATATTATTGTTTTTTATTGCAAAAAAGTATTTTTTTTTTCTGATACAAAGGTCTGGCTAAATGAAAAAAATAAAACAATGTTTGTATCTCACTAGTCTTTTGGACTATTTGTCAGCTGTATTAAATGAATTTGCATGGGCGTTGACATGGGTGTCATATGACAGGTTTCCATTATATATGTCAACCTGTGGAACTTCGATTTCAAAAGAGTCCCACAACATTCTCAAAGGGAGTTGACAAAAGAAAAAAACAGAACAGGTGTGGTTTTTCAGTTCCACGAAATCGACAAGACTGAACACGATCAAAGGTTTGGCTTGTGTTTACTCAGAGCTGCTAGTAATTATAACCAATTTGTTTTTCAACAAAACAGATTTAAGTGTGAAAGTCTAGAGCAACCTGAGGTGTGCATTTAGAATTTGTGGGAGCAAACAGTACTCTCCTACTTTCCTACTCTCCTACTCTCCCATTTAGAATTTGAGGGAGCAAACAGTACTCTCCCACTCTCCATGACCAAGAATTGAACAAACTGAGGGCTATAAATACACAAGAGGCAAACGAGGGAACTAAATGAACAACGGATGAACTTAATTAGTAAATAATGGCACCCAAGTGGGTATTACAGGATATAGTTGCCAATGGTGGTTACTATGTGAAATCAATTAGCAATAACGAATATTCATCATGTGTGGTTACATGTAATTTACGTAGTTGTTCTTATAAACACACATTTAATTTCGGTAGTTCTCAAAACCCAAATACTGTATATTTCTGAAATGAAAATCTATAGGTTTACCAAATGATTCATTGATTAACCATTAAGATCAGTTGGATTAATTAATAGACAAATGTATTAAACTTAACAAAAAGTTTGATAGTAATCAAAGTTACTGTAAATGAAACGATAATGTAGATATTTGTGAATTGTACTGATGAATTGTACTGAAAACATGATGAAAGAGTTTTGAAAATGTACACCACTTGTGAAAATAGTACCAAAGCGAGTAAAAAAAAAAGAAGGAAAAACCATAGTGGACATTATTGAGTGTACTCCTTCAATCCCACAATGCACCGCAATAACGAGTCTACAACTGGTATGCTAGAATACCCATGATGCACTGTGAGAATTGCACGTCGAACGAACAATTCCACTAGAAGATGCCGTCTGCCACTAAATCATTCATCCATTCATTTTTCAATGTGGCTTATCATAAATTGAATTCCTATAATTTCCTTTTTACTTGATTATTAAAGTTCAAGATAAATCTTTTAATTTTCAACATACATGTTATAATTTCTCTCTTTTTAATTTTGCCCCAACCCTGATACAAACAACAAAAGACAAAATAAGAATAAAATGGTGAAGCCCATTACAATGTGAAGCTATTTCTCCAGTATACATATACTTTTCAGTGCTTTTTAAAATTCATCTGGACTGTCAAGGGGATTCTCAAGTTGTCTCTCTTCATACAGCTCACACAATAGTCAAAGAATATCAAATGTCCGGTTTTCTTTTTATGCAAGAACTCCGCCCAAAGTTTGCGGGCTATAAACCCTGACAAATAAAACTTCTCAGACGCTTTACGCAACCATCCATGACCAGTGACCTGTGTCCGGCAACAATGGCTTCTCAAGGCATCCAGATCCTGGGCATCATGCTTGCCATGATAGGCTGGTTGGGGACCATCATCACCTGTAGCATGCCAATGTGGCGGGTCACAGCCTTTGTTGGACCGAATATCGTCACGGCACAAATCATCTGGGAGGGTTTGTGGATGAGCTGTGTCGTGCAGAGCACCGGACAGATGCAGTGTAAGGTTTACGACTCCATGTTGGCTCTATCACAAGACCTGCAGGCTTCCAGAGTCATGGTTATCATCTCCATTATGGTGGGCGTCTTTGGATTCCTCATGGCTGTGGTTGGAGGAAAGTGTACCAACTGCTTGGAGGACGAAACAGCCAAAGCTAGAGCGTGCATCGTCTCAGGGGTGGTTTTAATTATCGCTGGTTTTCTCCTCCTGATTCCGGTGTGCTGGTCTGCACACACTCTTATCAGGGACTTCTACAACCCTTTAGTTACAGCAAGCCAGAGGCGGGAGCTTGGAGCCGGGCTCTACATAGGCTGGGCATCTGGAGGCCTCTTGTTGCTGGGTGGTGGGCTTCTTTGTTGGAACTGCCCGTCCAATGACAGACGGCCCTATGCGGCATACTCACATGCAAGATCTGTGACCCCAGCAATGGATTACGTGTGAGAAAACAAGCATAACTTGAAGATATATGGCAAGCAAGCCACTGTGCAAAATGAGTCATTGCACACCTCACGTAAATTACAACTTTGTCACTTGTTAAACGCTTGAAAATTACTGAATAAAAGGTGATGAATATGAGTTTACAGTGTTCATTTACAATAAAATGTGATATAAAATTGTGTTTGTGTGTGATTGACTATGAAATATGAACATTTTTTACACACATGCGCACGTGTAAACACGTGATACCATTTCACAGCTGCTGATTTTTCTCCATGCACACATAAAGTATAAGTGATTTTCGTTGTCAAGGAGAAACACTGCACTCCAACTACTGCAAAATATTAAACAAGCTCAATCATTAATAGCAGAGCCTTGCTACAAACATTTTAAACAAGCATATCATATCTCTACAGGAATTTTAACACACAAGAAATATGACAAATAAGTGTTGTTTTTGTGGGTCAACGACAAGTAAGGATGTCTGAAATGGTAAAAAGGATATTTAAAAAAATAAATATCCATTTGGACATGACCGTATTCATGTAGGTTACATTTTTATTATTTAATGTTGGATAACACTTAAAACTTTTAGCCTAAGTGGTGTACCGTGTAACCATCAAGTAAAACATATAGGCTACTTACTTTTCTTGCACATAAAACATGAGTTTATGTATGATTAATTTGACCGGAATATACATGTAAAATAGGCTATATTTTTATTTTAAAAAAGGTGAATGACCTTCACACACAGCCCGTCATGCAAGGTCTAAAGGGTTCCACTTTTTTTAAATGCCATACACCATTTTTAATATTGCATATAGGCCTATATTTTTTATATAAGAAGAAATAATCTACAGTCAGTCAACAAGCTCTGCACACATAATTTATCAAAATGGCAGAAATTGAAAATGTGTTCATCAGAGTCGAACTTCTTAAGGCCTCATTATGCTTCGCGTCAACTCCACGGGCAAAAAAGCACATATAAATGCCATTTGTAAAAAAAAATTTTTTGTGAGTTTTATATTTTTTGTGAAACTCTTAACATTTATTTGTAGATCAGAATCTATTTATTTGGAATAATGCAACAATTTTACCCCCGGCTTAACGCTGATGCGCTGCTCAAGTGCCGCTCACTAGGCTAAATGCGTCTTTATAGCACGCATGTGTATTGTCGTGTAATTTATACGCTAAAGTGAGTTTTTACGTGCATATGATAGATACACATTGGTTGGTTAGGGTAGGTTAGGTGTGGGGTGAGGTGCGTGTGTATTCAACGCATTCTCATCCCAAAGCGCCATATACAACGCTTTTGCAAAAGCGTAAATATCCAACGCACATGGCACCCTTTAACGTCTAATGAGACGCTTCGGTTATAGTTTAGGGATAGAATTAGTGGTGTGGGGTGCGTGTGGATTACACGCAAATGAACTGCGTATCAAATGCACGCGAAAAACTGCGTCTCATATGCACGTAAAAACTCATTTTCGCGTATAAATTACACAACAATAGACGCATGTTATAAAGACCAGGGGCGATTCTAGGATTTTCCTTTTAGGGGGGTATGACGGTATGATTAAAATAAATAATTAAAAAAAAAAAACAAGGTAAAAGTTTAATTTAGGGTCTAATGCTAACTTTCATTACTTGCCGGGTTTCATAATCACTGTAGTCCTGGATTTGAGTTATGGTAACTTAGTTAGGAGGGTTCGAATTAAAATTTTTAATTCTCTGGACTATATGTCCATTTTAAGATGTTTTGAAGGCATTTTTTTTTGATAAAACCATGTCAGTGGGCAGCTGATTATTTTTCTTGCCCTGTCTCTTCCCCTAGATTTGTCAATACCTGCTGCTCTCTCCTCATCTCGCTTGTCTCCTCATCGTGCCCTTTCTCTCCCCATCCTAAAGCTGAACTTTTTTATTTACTAAAGGCTACAATTTGTATTATATTTTCAATATGTACACATTCATTATTAATCATGTACCTTACATGATGAAAACGGATTTGTTAACGTTTCTTGTCAATGATATTAAACGAATTATTACATTAGGCTGACGTCACATGCCTAATTTCAGTTCAAAAGGGCGAAATTAGATGAAACTATATATTAGTTTTACTGATTATTTTTTGTTTATCATTCGTTTAACATTTATGACCTCAAAAAACTGTCAAATATATAACGTTATAAGTTTAGCTACTTACATCTCGCACTTGCCACTTGCCCGTGCACTGAAGTCGAGTCTTGCTGCTAAAATTCGTGCTCAGCTTCTGTGAATAGGGTAGGACGGGTAGCCTACAGTTGAGACACCTTAAATAGGCTAACTTGCGTGCGCAGCCAGCAAAAGTTGTGGTTTTTGCTGTGCACATGCGTATTAGTATCCTCTTTGATCGTGGGAAATTTGATCAATGATCTCTGATCCAAAGATATTGGCAAAAGTTTTTTTTCTAAGACGTTCACTTCACCATGCACACTCCACGATGAATAGCTCATTATCACTGTGTGACTGTTAAACGTAACTGGTATAATCACAAACGTTATTCTGTCCCTAAAAAGGGGCATATTTCATGGCATTGTGTCATGGTCACTGCAAAATCTAGAGAAATGTTCGAGGTGGCCAGCGGGGTACAGTTGAGACACTACTGTCTCAACTGTACCCGCAATAGAGTTCAATTAGGAAACACACTGTTTGGTTGTTCAGTGTTATGATAACAGGTTAAATATTATAATTAGCCAGCATAAGCCGCAAATGAAATAAAAATTTGGTATTTGTGATAATTAAACTGTGTATTATTAATGAATATATAAAATAAATTGTTTCTGTTTTATAAAATTTAACCAGTCCCAATTAAAATAAAATTAATGAATTTGAATGGATGAATAAACAAACATGTTGCCCAATTGTTATTTTTTTATTTGACTTTATTTATTATATTTTCAATGAACGATTAGTTACCTTTCATTAAAAATGGGTGTCTCAACCGTACCATGGTATGGGTACAGTTGAGACAAAGTTGAGACAAAAAACAACTTATTTTTATGAGCTAATTGTGGAAAATATAAACTACTTATGAGTAATATTGATTGGTAATATCTTAGTCTACAAGCTAATGAAATGTCATGTGGCAATGTCATGAGGAAATTCACGTCTTTTCAGTATCTATTTTTGTGTGAAAAATTAAAACACAAAAAGTGTCTCAACTGTACCCAGTAAAAGCCCGCCTACTTTGATTTGATTGGTCATCTCAAATATTCTGACATTGACCAGCAGTGACAGACCAATGGATGAACACACGCACAATTTCCTCTCTTTTTGATGCGCTCTCTGCTCGGCGCCACTGCGGATTTAAGATGTAGAACGCGCTGAATCTGATTAAAAGATTCGACTGAAGCGAACACGAATTTGTGTAGCATATTAATCACAGATTTTTAGGGGGGTTAGGTATAAATTTAGGGGAAGAACTAAAAAGGCTGAAGACCCCCTAAAAAGGGCCTAGTGACGCCCCTGAAAAGACGCATTTGCGTGAGACCAGGCTGTCCGTTTGCGCTTGTAGTGTGAAATGGCCGTTATAATAGTGCGCAATTACGACCGGGGTGACAGCGAACCACCCCTCAGATCCGCCCCGCCCCTGGTCTGAAAGCAATTAGGAGGAAAGAAGGAAAATCCTCATCAGCTGAATCAAATCACATTGTTTAGAACCCAACCGCGCCTCTAAAAGCCACTATAAATGTATCTTTCATTCGTGTGATAGACTCTGATACTTTGCACACACAAGAACGCAATGGCTTCTGCTGGGCTTCAGATTTTGGCCATTGGCCTTGCTGTTATCGGCTGGTTGGGAGAAATCATTATCTGCGCGCTCCCCATGTGGAAGGTGTCTGCGTTTATTGGCAACAACATCGTGACCGCACAGGCCTTCTGGGAAGGCATTTGGATGAACTGCGTGCAGCAGAGCACGGGTCAGATGCAGTGCAAGGTCTACGACTCCATGCTGGCGCTACCGCAAGATCTCCAGGCCGCTCGAGCTCTGGTTGTCATCTCCATCCTCGTGACCTTCCTGGGAATTATTCTGGCCGTCGCTGGAGGCAAGTGCACCAACTGCATTGAAGACCAGGAGGCAAAGACTAAAGTTGGGATCGCGGCCGGGGTGTTCTTTCTGGTTGGTGGTGTTCTCTGCCTGATCCCCGTCTGCTGGTGCGCGCACACCGTCATCCGAGACTTCTACAACCCAATTGTGTCTGAGGCCCAGAAGCGGGAGCTGGGAGCGTCGCTGTTCATCGGATGGGGCGCGTCTGGTCTGCTGCTCATTGGGGGCTCGCTTCTCTGTTGCCAGTGCCCAAAGAGTGAAGGTCGTGGTTATTCCGTCAAGTACTCCGCGCCAAGATCTGCTCCAGGGGCTTATGTGTGAAACTCAGACTTTATGGACTAATGACTCTCCTGTTTGTAAGGGAAGAGAGATGCAATTTATTGTCTTGCATGCCAATTTTTAACTCAATAAATTTTTATGTTTTTATAGGCCTAGTGTCTAAATGACCCTTCCTACAGCGCAACCTATGCGCATGCTCGAGCTCGCGCAGGGTTGCTCAGGTTCACCAAGAAGAAACTTTTATCGCTGGTCCTACACTCTCACGACCAATTCGTACGAATGATTAAAAAGTGACTAATTCGTCCTAATTCATACGTTCTCACTTCTCACTCATACGAATTCGTACGATTTGTCTAAACCCACGTGATGTTTAGGGGCGGGGGTAGGCCATTAGTAGGAATTCATATTAATTGGCCAATTCGTAAAATATGTACGAGTTTGCACAAATCGTAGTAATTTGTACGAGTGAGGTTGTATGAATTGTTACGAATTAGCCACCTCGTAAAATTCGTACGAATTCCCTTACGGCCTCGTTTATAATCGCATACTTGCAAGTTAATCTTTAAGGGAAACATTTAATTTTCTTTCCCAAATCTAGACTGAAAATATTCAAAAGTGTAATGCTGTTAAAATCATGCAACTTGAGAGGTTAATTTGCTCTTTCTGCTGACTGTAACCAGTCTTAATTCGTAATGTTTTTACACCAAACTTTTAATTTGAACTGTAGCCTACACCAAATTCTGCATAAAATAAATATTGTCGGATTTGTTTATGCATTTTTGCCCCTTTATTAAACATTGAAAATATTCACAAATAAATATGGAAAAAAAGAAAATGTAGATTTTACAGGTTTTCTAAAGCTAAATTAGAACCTGGAAGCGATAGGCTATTTTTCCTGCAGTGCTGAATGAGAAGAGCCAATTGTCTCCGGAACCAGCCTACAGAAAGGTGATTTGAGAGTTAGGCTCATGGTTATACATGTGTGGTATTTTAATTGTTTATTAATAAACTAGTGTTTTCTAAGTCAGTGTCGGCTAAAAACATATCTCCATCTCCACTGTAAGGCATGTGCACCTTTAGAGACAAATGCACATTCCATACGGATTAATAATCAGAAGGTAGCAGCTTTCGATTCGAATTTGTTCGTTTTAAAGTGGACATTTCAAGCTTTAGCCTATATAGACTATAGGCAATATTTTGTTTCAGTTCTTGCGCTCCAGTTCACGGAGATCATGAAACCGTGACTGATGTTTTATTTTACTAAAGTACAACGTTTTCTTGTGAGTTAAGTTTACACAAAAGTAGTTGCGAATAATATATTATTATTTTCTGTATGACCAGAAATGATAAAGTAGGCCTAGGCCTATTTAAGAATGTGTTGTTTCCACTGAATGCAAGTGTTCACGGTCCCTGCCATGCGGGGTCCACACTCTGCACAAACACTATGCGTCAAAATCTTGTGTTTATTTGTGATAATCTTAGCCCTGTATTATTGTTGTTTAACATGTATTATGAATGACATTTGACAAATTGCTTTGTTCCTTTTTTTGATAAAAGTGTCTTCTAATTATGTAGCCTAATAAATGTTATAATGTTGATGATTATTATTAAGCCCCTCTTATTATTTGCGTATATGGACCCCAAACATATACGCGTCTTCTAATTAATTAAGTCAGGTGACTGTAATTGTGTAAAAACTGTTTCCATTGCAGTTTTGCGAAATATTCTTTTTTCGAATTGCCTGAAAAACCTCATGTGAGCATAAAAACTTTTTTTTTGCGTTAAACGAGAGTTTTTGCGAAATTGACGTGTTTGTGCATAGCTAGCCTACTGTATTTTCAATTCGCCACTCCCAGATCCACCCCTGGTCTGAAAGCAATTAGGAGGAAAGACGGAAAATCCTCATCAGCTGGATCAAATCACATTGTCTAGAACCCAACCGCGCCTCTAAAAGCCACTATAAATAATTGTATCTTTCATTCGTGTGATAGACTCTGATACTTTACACATAAGAACGCAATGGCTTCTGCTGGGCTTCAGATTTTGGCCATTGGCCTTGCTGTTATCGGCTGGTTGGGAGAAATCATTATCTGCGCGCTCCCCATGTGGAAGGTGTCTGCGTTTATTGGCAACAACATCGTGACCGCACAGGCCTTCTGGGAAGGCATTTGGATGAACTGCGTGCAGCAGAGCACGGGTCAGATGCAGTGCAAGGTCTACGACTCCATGCTGGCGCTACCGCAAGATCTCCAGGCCGCTCGAGCTCTGGTTGTCATCTCCATCCTCGTGACCTTCCTGGGAATTATTCTGGCCGTCGCTGGAGGCAAGTGCACCAACTGCATTGAAGACCGGGAGGCAAAGACTAAAGTTGGGATCGCGGCCGGGGTGTTCTTTCTGGTTGGTGGTGTTCTCTGCCTGATCCCCGTCTGCTGGTGCGCGCACACCGTCATCCGCGACTTCTACAACCCAATTGTGTCTGAGGCCCAGAAGCGGGAGCTGGGAGCGTCGCTGTTCATCGGATGGGGCGCGTCTGGTCTGCTGCTCATTGGGGGCTCGCTTCTCTGTTGCCAGTGCCCAAAGAGTGAAGGTCGTGGTTATTCCGTCAAGTACTCCGCGCCTAGATCTGCTCCAGGGGCTTATGTGTGAAACTCAGACTTTATGGACTAATGACTCTCCTGTTTGTAAGGGAAGAGAGATGCACTTTATTGTCTTGCATGCCAGTTTTTTAACTCAATAAATTTTATGTTTTTTTTATAGCCTGTCTAAATGACTCAATTTGTATAGCGCAACTTATGCGCATGCTCAGTTGAGCTCAGGTTCACCAAAAGAAACTCTTCTATCGCTGGTCTGCTGCTTTACGGCCTCGTTTATAATCGCGTTGCTTACTTGCAAACTATTTAAATTACTCTTCAAGGAAAATTTTTAATCCGTTACCAAATAAAAACATTAAAAACTTCAGAAGTGTGACGCTGAAATCATTAACTTGAGTGTTAATTTGCTCTTTATTTCTGCTGTCTGGAATCAGTCTCAATTCGTGTAATGTTTTTACATCTGTTAAGTTTATCAAAGCGAGGAATCAAACTGTCACATGCACGTCATGGAAAGGTGGTCAGTGTGGTTTCGGCATATTGCGCTTAATACATCTTTTGTGGCAAGACACTGTTGCTGGCTTTGCACACAACACACAGTAAGACTTTTTACTTCTGCCAATTTCATTTAGGCTTTAAAATTCATAAAAGTGGCTAATTTGTGAAGATTATCATGACGAACAAAACCTGTAATCATAAACGTTGGTCACAGAGCTTTTTTTTTGTGATTAATCCAAAAGAACAGTGGAAAAATTCTTCTGGGTTTTTTGTCGAGAGACCCAGGGTGATGCTGACTTCCGGGTTGGCCAACAAAAAAAAAGTCATTTCAGCACTCTTGAATGACTGTGGTCTCAAACCCACTGTGAAAAATGATATGATCAAGAAGTTATGACAACATTTGTTTTTACTCTGTTTTTACTCATCAAAATAATTTAAGCAATTTCAACTTTTTTAATAAGTTTTACTAGATTTAACTATGTTTTTTAAGTCAATTTAAGTTGTAGGCTTTTTAATTTGAGGCAGCGAGTGTATTAGAGTTGTAGGCCTATACTTTCATGGAGCTTTTTTGTTGTCATTTTTAAGCATAGTCTTGTTAAAGGGACCGTTCACCCAAAACTGAAAATTAGCCTATGATTTACACACCCTCAACTCATCAGGTGTATATGACATTCTTCTTCCAGACCAATGTAATCAGAGTAATATTAAAAATGTCCTGTTTCTTCCCAGCCTTATGGCTGTATATATTTTTTGAAGTCCATAAATTGCATCCATCCATGATAAAAGTTCTCCACACTCATCTGAGCTAATAAAAGCCGTCTGAAGTGAAGTTATGCGTTTGTGTATGAAAAATATCCATATTTAAACCTTTAACGACTACAATAACTAGCTTCCGGCAGACGGCTGTACGCAAGTCGACTTGCGCCAAAAGAGTAACGCTCGACAACGACAACAAACTATACCTTTAAGAGTTGCTTTATGGAAACAATACATTAAAAAAAATAAACAGCATTAGGTTTGGAATGATATAGGGTGAGAAATTAAAGACGGAATTTCAAATTTGTGATTGAAATGGCAACGTCATCAATAAAAACAGTTAGTGATTGCAGTGTTTTGAGTTAAGGGCAGCCACGGCTATAGTTAATTGTGTACTTCTTCCATGAATGTGGACTGAGTAAAAAAATCAAGTCGAGCAGGAAACTCGATACAGGTTTCCTCCCCTTGCTTTGCTTTCTCTTTGTTCAAATACACCAATACCTAAGGCACAAGGAAGAGCTTTCATTTTGTCAATAGTCATTTGCTCTCAACTACGTTGCTTTCCTTCTTTTCATTGCACATGAATCGCCTGTGTTCCGTACAAGATGAGGAGTCGACAGATCTTGGCTGAATGTCTGGCTGTGTTAGGCCTATGTGGTACTATCCTAGTATGTGCATTGCCTATGTGGAAAGTGACGGCCTTCGTGGGAGCAAACATCGTGACAGCACAGGTTTTCTGGAAAGGTTTGTGGATGGACTGCGTCCTGCAGAGCACCGGTCACATGCAGTGCAAAGCATTTGACTCCGTCCTGGCTCTGACTCAAGATCTCCAGGCAGCTCGAGCTTTGATTTGTGCCTCCATCGCTGTCAGTGTGTTCGCCATCGGACTGTCGGTTGTTGGGGCCGATTGCACAACCTTCTACAGAGAAGAGCGGCTTAAAAAGACCAACATTGGAATAGCAGCTGGTGCTGTCTATATAGTTGCAGGTGTAACCTGCCTTGTGGCTGTCAGCTGGTCGGCGTATGTCACTATTGTGGACTTCTATAATCCGCAAGCAATAGCAGGGAGTAAAGGAGAGCTGGGAGCTTCTATCTATGTTGGATGGGTGGCTGGTGTTCTGCTGATTGTAGGTGGAGGGCTGCTCATCAACACATACTCCAACAGATGTTGACCAGATGTGCATATTAAACACATGACTCTCTTTCCTGGAAGATGAAAAGTCTCTCTGGCTCTATTCAGAGCTGCCAAGATATAATGGTATCACCCTTAAAGAACACCTGAATGTCTGTGCAAATGAATAATATGATAACTTTATTCATTTTGCAATAATCCTGAAAAAATAAATTATATTCATTTGCAAATGTGAAAATGCAAATGAAAGAAGAATTCAAGATTTGTTTAATTGTCTTAAATCTGTTTTCTGATTTGCATTGTTCTGTTTTTTGTTCAGAGATGTTTATAGTTATAAAGCGACAATGTTTCAGTTTTCTATATCTACCTTTTTTATTTCAAGATATTACCATAAGTAACCAACTAGTGTTATAATATTTTATCTTAATTCATATAAAAGTGACCAAAAGTGAAAATGTCAAATAAATAGTTTGTAAAATAAAATTATTAAAATAATTTTGAACTCTTTTTATACAATATTTTTTATTTGTGATGTACTTTTATGATGCAGAGACCACAGAGAGAATCCACACTAATTAAAACAGATTTAGCTGAATAATTATTCAAAACAGGAGACTATTGGATAGAATACTTGAAATAATATTTGGCTGTAAGTATAGAAAAATCAAAAGATTACATCCCATGAAGGTGCAAAACTCACTGGCTGTAATATTGTCCAATAAAACATTTACACAGCCAAATATGGCAAGAAGTTCTCTACCACTGAGCTGATTATATCTTTTGTGGTAAGACATATACCAAGCTAAGTTATTTGCATGAACACACACACACAGGAAAGAGATAGACGCCTGTCTTAGTACATCATGTACACCAAATATATCATATTTTAAACATAATAATAATAAGAAGAATTTGTTACATTTATATAGCGCTTTTTATGGGACCCCAAATCGCATTACATTGAAGGGGGAATCTCCACAACCACCACCAATGTGCAATGTGTGACGGCAGCCATATTGCACCTGAACGCCCACCACACACTAGCTTAGGTGGAGAGGAGACAGTGATGAAGTCAATCAGTATAGGGATGATTAGGAGACTATGAGTTTAATGTTTGCAGTTTAATGTTTGCAAAGTTTAATGTTTGCAGTTTGTTCATTTGTGTACAAACCTCTTAATAATAAAAATAAAATAATTGTTTGAGATTAAACAAAGAACCGAACAAATTAAAAGTAAAAATTATTAATTCACTCATTCAAATGAAATCTTGTTAAAAAAGGGTGTATAAGAAAAATATTCAAATATGCGCGTATGATTATTATTTTATGGTTATTTGATTATTTTTGCCTATTGCATATTTTAATATAATAAATAGGCCCTACTCATAATACTCATATTCATGCGTTCTACTCAGACCAGACATTTAGTTTACTTTTATACATTATTATTTTGTGGCCTAGACATAGTCTATTTTTTTTTTTTCGTTTTCTGCTCAGTGTGGTTAGTGGTATCCTGCATAATATGTGTGGTATCTTGTTTAGTTTCAATGGTTATTTTACTTGGAATTAAGGTACATGTGTAATTTGCATAAGCCTAAAATCTTTGATTGTTTTGATCTGTGATGTGAAATTATTTCTCAAATCATGTTCTGGTCTGTGCATGATAAGGCCAGGTTTTTGGTTTTCTCTTTCTTTTTCTTTGTATTTCTTGAGGATTGTGATATCCTGTGAGAAATTTCAAGTTTGTTGGCAAGCCACTCGAATCTACAACGGCAAAAGAATCTACTACAGTGAAAGGGCAACAACTCCTAAGGAAGAGGACAATATCCTTTCTTTTCTTCTCCAGTCTTGCTCTTGCGAGACAATTCACATTTAGAGACTATTGAGTTTTTTTTTCTTTTCCTCAAGATTGACAGATGAATACAGAGACTGATTAGAAACTGATATAGGACTTTGAAAAGCATGAATACTCGTGATGGTTTATGGTTACCCGTAGCAAAAATTGTTTGGTAAATTTGATTAATATTGAGGTTCTTGTTCAATCAAGCGATTGACATTTGTGATATTTTGAGAGAAGAGTGTTTTAAAAAAAAGGGAAAAAAGACACCACTCGATGTTCATTATTTTATTATTATTCATTATTTTATTCATTTTATTTTATTGTCATTGCAATTATCTGTGTTTTGGTGTAAAAGAAGAGTGCACTCTGGGTGAAATTTTCATGTTTGAACTGTGTGTATAATTGACTGACATTGTAATGACCTTTTCTTATTCTGCTTATTTTAATTGGAAAACAAATTACATACCAGTTCATATCTAACTTGTGTTGTCTGTTCTTTCCCACCACAATCCGCTACCTCTTTTATGAACTTAAAAAAAAAATCTGCTAAATATCGGCACCAACAACAATCAATTGTTAAATACAGACACCAATTACAAAGGCCTAACACAGGCGTTAAAAAGTTTTGAAGCAAAACAATTTCCAGCATTTGATGTGGGTCCATTTAAACAAAACTGGTTCTACAGCTTTCTTTTAACAAATGCTATGACCAGTAGAAGGAAACCAGTCAAGCTGGAAAGGCCGTCCCCTAGACAAAAGTGCGTGTTACATATGACCGAGACACATATCTAACGGCTGCTATAACACCAACTTCATCTTACATTCATTCCTCCAAAGCAAGAGGTAAAGAAACATGGCGTCCGCAGGACTTCAAATCTTGGGCATATGCCTGGCTATGCTCGGCTTCTTGGGAAGCATCGTCATCTGTGGCTTGCCCAACTGGAAGGTGACAGCATTCATTGGAGCCAACATTGTGACTTCGCAGACCATCTGGGAAGGTTTATGGATGAACTGTGTGGTTCAGAGCACAGGACAGATGCAGTGTAAGGTCTATGATTCTCTGCTGGCACTTCCTCAAGATCTGCAGGGTGCCAGAGCCTTGGTGATCATCGCCATCATCGCTGGGGTGTTTGGAGTCCTCCTGTGCATCGTGGGAGGAAAGTGCACCAACTTCGTGGAAGACGAGGCGTCTAAAGCGAAGGTCGCCATCGCCAGCGGTGTTATCTTCATCGTCGCTGGAATTCTTGTCCTCATTCCCGTCTGCTGGACCGCGAACACCATAATCAGGGACTTCTACAACCCTATATTGATGGACAGCCAAAGGAGGGAGCTCGGGGAATCACTTTACATCGGCTGGGCTTCAGCCGCCTTGCTTTTCCTGGGTGGAGGTCTCCTCTGCAGCTCTTGCCCACCGAGTGAGGATGTTCCCAGGAATGTGAAGTATTCTCAAGCTAGGTCTGTGGACAGCAGCAAAGCTTATGTTTAAAAAGTTTGAGATCAACTAAACAAAAAATGTTGAAGAGGAACTAATTTACTTACAAATTTCAAATGTAATTTCTTCAAATAAATGAAGCTTAATGAAGTATTGGAACATCAATTGCCACAAAATATTAATGCATCATACTGTACGTGTTCATATTTTTTCATTGTATATTAATTCAAGAAATGCATGTGGAAACCATTAGGGTTATGCACACAAAGGCAAATTTTATATAAAAATGTAAAACAGTAATATTGTGAAATATCATTGCATTAACCGCAAATAACCGTTTTCTATAAATCTATTTTGAAAACTGATGATGTGTTCAATATTTTTGAAGAAACCATGATACTTTTTCCAGCATTCTGTGATGAAAAGAATAGCATTTATTTTAAATGGATTTTTTTGCAACAGTGTGAAAGTCTTTTACAGTCTCTTTTGATCAATTTAATGCATCTTAAGAGGACAATATCCTTTCTTTTCTTCTCCAGTCTTGCTGTAGGGAGACAATTCACATTTATAGACTATTGAGTTTTTTTTTCTTTTCCTCAAGACTGACAGATGAATACAGAGACTGATAAGAAACTGATATGCATTGAATACTCGTGATGGTGTATGGTTACATAGACAAAATTGTTTGGTAAATTTGATTAATATTGAAGTTCTTGTTCAATCAAACGATTGACATTTGTGATATTTTGAGAGAAAAAGACACCACTCCATTATTCATTATTTTATTTTATTGTCATTGCAATTATCTGTGTATGTTTTGGGGTAAAAGAAGAGTGCACTGTAAGTGAATTTTTTTTCATGTTTGAACTGTGTGTAACTTGTGTTGTCTGTTTGTTCTCTTCTATATATTAAAATGTATATATCAAGCATGCTTGTGGCTAATCTGTTCTTTATATCCAGTCATCAAACTACGTCATTATCCAGAAAGTTATTTTCATAGTTTTACCTCATATTATAATTGGTAACTTTTATCCATATGACATGTAGCAATGTGTACTTAATAAAAAATATTACTGTGCAAACATTGTGACTGTGTATTTCCCTAAATAAAATATTACATTTATAATATAAAGTTATTTAAGTGTTATAAAATATAATATATTTATAAATATTCAGAAAGATCAATAAATGTAAATAGTAAAGTTTTTTTGTCAACATGAACATGTTCTGTTTATAAATGTATGCTTGAGTTTCTAATTTTTTGCAACAGGAAGAGACCGACCTCATATTTATTTCCAGTAGGGGACTGTTCGTGTTTTATTTAAGGGGCTACCGGAGAAGATTTGAGATCTGTAGCCAAAAAAGACTTGACCCTCCCTTCACCAGCAATATTTTTTTCTATGACCCTCAAAAATGATTCTGAAAAAATGCATGACCCTCCCTGATAATTTATTGATTACCTTTGTACTGGTTTGCGCTTGGCAAAGATGTTCAGATAGCCTTTTTTTTTTTTTTTACAACCATGACAAACAACTAAACTCCTGCTTTCTCATCTTACTAGGGAGGTAACGATAGACCAAACCTACAATTCGATTCATATCACGATTTTTGACTTGAAAAAAAATCATGTTTTCGGTGCTGATGCAGTGGTGACGTGTTCATGTAACATGTAAGGGTAAAATAAAGTATCTAAAATTGCCACAAAGAACCGGCAAAAGTAATGGTTATGAATATGTAAGCAAAAATATAATAATGGTAATGAATATGAAAATATACTGTAGCAAGGAGACAACAAGTCTTTCTGTGTCGGCTGCAAATATGAAGGTGACGATGCTGACTCGCGATCTTCGCAGTGAAGTGAACGAGCCAGAGAGAAATGCACATTTCATATGGATTACGTATGCAGTAGTCTGTTTTCTTTCGTTTTGGGAATTGATCTGTTCAAAAAAAGTAGACATTTTAAGCTTTCTATATATTTATCAGGTCTGTGAGGCAAGTAACTGCATACGCTGAATTTCGGTTCATTTATTAGACGAGAGTCCAGATCAACTGCCGGCGCCTCTGTTTCGTTATGATCTATTTTATACTATATTTACTTCTTATTTATTAAATCCAGGCAATTGGTTGATGAAGGATTGATTAAAATTAAGATTCAATTAATAAAAAACTAAATTCACTTTAAAGAAAGGCTTTACAACATAAATACGTAAATGGCAGTGAAGTAGTGAAATCATTCTTAAAGGTTATAGTTTTCATTGTTTACTCATGTTGTTTCAAACTTATGTGACTGAGTTTCTTCTGAGGAACATATTTTGAAAAATGTATCAGTGTTTTGTTTTTGTTTTTTTGTCCACAATGCAAATGAATAGTCACAACATTCTTCATGTACCATGGACAAAAGAAAGTAATTCGAGTTCAAAAGGATATTAGGGTAAATGATTGCCGAATGTTCATTTTTGGCTGAACTTTTGGTTTGACATGGTCTTTTTAACATAAAAGAATAATTGTGGCATCAATTATGAACTTTTTTTGAGATATATGGGCGGTCTCGGCGATCAGAAAAAGCTCAAAAAGCGTGAGATCGAAACTGCATCTGGATCCCTGTAGTGTAGACAAGTGACGCACGAACACCTGAGCCCTTTTCAGGAGGAGTCCAATGCAAATTTCCATCTAAACAGTTGCCCATCTACCTCTTTTTACATGACCCGCCCATTGTCCAAGGAATCTGGTTAGTCTGGTAGCAAGCGGACTAATGGAGGCATGGTCTATGGAACTGCACACGCCTCCTCAGTCATTCTCTTTTCTCTTTAGCATACAAACTCCTCATCACTGTCACCAGAGTGAAAGCTGAGCTGCAGACAGGAATGAGTGAAGAAGGAAACAAGGCCTTCAAAAAGGCTTTAACCGGTGAGAGGAACGAAGAAGCCTCAGTATAGCTGTGGACGTGTATCATTTAACCCCAGCGAGATGGCTTCCCTTGGCATGCACATGTTGGCGAGTGCCTTGGCCTTACTGGGATGGACGGGAGCCCTCCTGTCCTGCATGATGCCAATGTGGCGTGTGACAGCCTTCATTGGAACCACCATTGTCACTTCAGAGATCATGTGGGAGGGGATTTGGATGAGCTGCGTTATACAAAGCACTGGCCAAATGCAGTGCAAACCGTACGAGTCCACGCTCGCACTTGGCACAGATCTGCAGGCCGCTCGGGCAATCACGGTGATGTCTGTCCTTTTAGGAGCGGTGGGCCTTGTTTTGGCCTTCATCGGAGGAAAGTGCACCATCTTCATGAACAGTTCCAAAAGATCCAAAGCCAGAGTTGCCACAGCAGCCGGCGTGACGTTGATCGTCGCCGGAATTCTCTGCATCGTCCCTGTCTCCTGGTCGGCTGGCATTGTGGTTAAAGCGTTTTACGACCCGCTGTTGAGCGATTCCCAGCGCAGGGAGATTGGCGCCGCCATTTATGTTGGTTGGGGTGCATCTGTTGTCCTCATGTTGAGTGGAGGAATGTTGTGCACCACTATATGCAAAGACAAAACAGAGGATGACAGAGGTCCTTCAGTGAAGTACCTGATCGTGCGCTCTTCGCAGGCAGGGTCCAGCAGGGCGGGCTCGCACAGGATGCAGCCCATCTCTGTGAGGTCACGGCAGAGTGCCACTCCATCTGTGAGGTCCCAATGGAGTCAGAAAGCTCCACTGAATCTGGACAGACCACTCTCTGCAGACTCCCACCAGAGCAGGCCATCAACTACAAAGTCCCAGCTTGCCAGAGCCGAATCAATGCCAGAGTCTGAGCAGGGCAGGAGCATGTGGACAGTCCCAGCTGATTGGTGATGGAATGGATCAGATTCTGCTGGGCCCCTCTGAACTTAGTTAGACATCTGAAAGTGCTCCAAAGTCATACATTTGATTAAGGAGACACTGAAAGTGCAAGATCTGTGTTGACTGATGGACTTACATACAATCGGACAGTCATATACCTACCATAGCACTGTGAATGAGCAATTACTGGTCAAATGAAGAAATGAAGTTATGAATTTAGTGGCTGAATATTGTTATATAAAATTGATAATGCAGCTTGTTTAGAGTTGTTGTTTTTTTGAGAATTTGAGGCACTTTAGTAAGTACAGCTAATTGAGATGAAGATTTGCACTGTGATTACACAGACCTCAGCAGTCAAGATTATTATTGTTTTATAGTTCATTTGAATAGCTTTGATACATTTATATATTTGCAATAAATAATGTATAAATATGTGCGAAAATGTTTTCATTATGTTATTTACATCATGTATGAATAAAATGGCTGTCAGTAGTGAGTGTTCTCATTTGTAATGAAAAAAAAAAAAAACTGACGCAGCTTCAACGAACTTGTGGAAAGTATTCCGTTTCATGCAGTGTGTTTTAACCTGCTAACTAAGAATCTAAAATGAACATATTTTTGGTTGAAACCAAGTCATATAAAAGTCCTGCTATGACCTTGGCTACACAGGTGGTCTTACAGAGAAGTACAATGGTTTGGTTTACAAGAGAGGGAACACTCTCTTCATTGTTAGCTATTCTTGTGTCAGCTCAAGCCCTGAATGAAACGGCCAAACCGGTTCAACAGAAAGTATCTGTTTTGAATAACGCTTTGCATGTTGTCGGGACACAGTATGTTTAAAAAGACGGTGGAGTGTGCTAGTGACGCTTACCATATAAAAACAACAACCAAAAATCTCAATATTCTTCTGTTATTGCTTAAAACCTAAGTATAAGCTGTTACAAGTCATGAAGTATGCCTATAAAGTCAACACTTCCCGAATGCCTTCAAGTATGCCCTTAAAATATTTGTCCAGTCAAAACACTGTGATTTAAGACAGTTCTACACTTTTCTAGAATGCAAGTTAATAAATAAACAGTGGAGTTTTTTCATCTGTTTATTTGCTTACATATGTAGCCTAAATTTATTTCTATCTGTGATTGAAATATTGTCTTAATGACATAAAATAAAATGGGTCTCTGTTTGGTATTGATATACCGTATGCACATATAGAATAATGCAATTTCAACATCATAACACCATAACAACAACCTTTTAAACTGGAATGTGTCCTCAAAAAATCTAAACCGTAGGCTACATAGTGTGTTTTCTGTTTTGTTTATGTCACGGAAATGGCAGCTTCAAAAGTCTAGCGGTCGAAGTATCGAGGAGTGGCAAACTGAAAGGTTAGATGTAACTGGGGAATGGTAGATTTGAAACGATACACCTCAGACATTTTCTCACGAAATCCTTTAGCTTCATGGACTTTACTTGAACAAAAACCTTAAAGTGACTGCACTGTCTGTGTACAAGTTCCAGGTGAAAAAAATTAGTGCCAAAATACATAGATGGATCATGTTTTTGGCATTTCTCTTCGTTCCAGGTGCTTCTCTGGGGAACAAAAGCACTATTCAAACAATTTATTATTTATAAAAAAATGCTGCCACCTGCTGGTGGAATAAGAATTCTGTAGTACAATAGCTGTGTGTGGATTACTGTGCAGATTTGGTCTAGCACTGGGTTGCCCTTGTGTGACCTTATAAACTTTTCTGATACAGATAAATGACACCAGGAATGTACCCACTGCCCTCTTCTGAAACAGCTCTCTCCCATTCCTCCACCTGAACAACAGTCACACGGCTCCATTTCTGCTCTTCCTCAAGTGCTCTGATCATTTTCTCCAGCTCAGCCTTGTACTGCCAGTTATCAGCGTTCCCTCTAGTAGTCATGCACACATAGCCGCCTGTTACACAGAATGAAGGAGTTGAGGAAGAATCTCTGAAATGTCCACGTTTTATATGCATACAAAATCTACAACAATGACATCAGATCAATTAAACCATCATATTGAATTAGACCAACTTAAAACACTTGCTTAAAAGTTGCTTAAAGGGATAGTTCACCAAAAATGAAAATTTGCTCTTAAATTGTTTTTGCTGATCGTTTCACTTCCTAAGATCTCAATGTATTGTCAGGAGTCATGGGTATTTAAAAAAAAATAAAAAATTACTGAGATGGCACCCATTGACTTTCAATAATATGAATCACAGAGGACCACGGTTTCAGCTAAAAATCTTCTACTGTACTACTGAAGAGTCATCTATATATTGCATGGTCTGAGGGTGAGTAAATAAACAGTAAATATTCATTTTTGGGTGACCGATCCCTTTAATAACAACAACAACACTTAACATGCGTTTAACTACATGTATTTCCGGTTATTAATGTGAAATGCACAACTAGTTACCTGGTTTTGTAACATCGCAGAGCTCTCTGATGACTGTAAAAGGCACATGCCCAACACTTAGAGCTCCAACAATTATAACAATATCATATATTTCTGAGACAAAAGGAGAGAATCAAGTCAAAAATGCAACAGAGCTAATCAATTTAAATATCAATATCATTATCAACAAAAGACTCAAGCATGTTTTATGATTCAGATGATAAGTTATGACAGCTAAAACTTGGGAAATCAAAATGTGGATTCTTTATGTGGAGATTGTCTTATAGATTAAACCAGCAGTATATTGAGCAGATTAATGTTAACAATTAAAGTTCTGGTTTTAATAACATTGCAGTATACAGTATTACACAATATACATTAATGTGTATGGTTTGTATTTATATATTTTTTATACAAAAGTCTGAAACATAAAAATTACATTAAAACAAACATTACCAATGAGGAAATACAAATGAATCAGTTATATTTAGACAGTAAAAGCCCAAAACATAATGATTCATTACCAGCTTCAACTGAAATTTCATCATGACCAAGCAGGCACTGCTTAAGTTCCTGATAAAGTCCAGTTTTCTTTGCCAACTCCAGCATCGTCATACTTCCATCTACTCCAACAAAGTGATGGAACCCCATTTTCTTTAACTTTTCACAAACAAATGGGATTAAGAAAATAAATGACATCACTCTGTGCATTAGCAAGCTTATCACATTCTGTTGTGCCCACCAGCATTCAAATAAAGCAATGCTTACATGTGCAGAGACCAGGCCTGTTCCACAGGCCACATCCAGGACAGTGGCCTTCTCTCTGTCACCTGTGAAAAATGAGCTCACACACTCAGCCGCTAACAAAGGGGCACGGTAATCCAGTAGCGCTACATCCTGAGAAAGCAACATTATTACAGATGAGATTGTTTTCAAAAAAGTACTAGAAAAATTAGCCTACTGCCCCCTTTAGTTTACCTGCTCATAGTTCTCAGCCCAGATATCATAGAAGCCAACCTTATCCTGGGCTCCTGTGTTTTTATGAGCCGACAGGATCTTATTCCTCACATCAGAAAAGGTTCGACGGCTGTTCGCCATTCCTTTAGAGAAAATGATACAGATGCATGTCCTCAAGAGATAGGCTACTATAAACATTTCATGAGACATTTATATAACGGTTAAAATGTCTCTTTACATTTGGATAAAATCTTCTTCTAAAACGCAAAATTGTAATGTCAATAATATGTAATCTACATATCGATCTGCCAACGTACGCAAACTGAGATTCTGACAGAATATTTGATCATAAAATGTATAAAAGACTTTTCTATTAGACCCTTATTCACCGTCTGGTGTCGTTTAAAGCTTTTTGAAGCTGCACTGAAACTCTCATTTGGACCTTGAACCGTTTGGTTCCCAATGAAGTCCATTATATGGAGAAAATCCTGGAATGTTTTCATCAAAAACCTTATTTTCTTTTCGACTGAAGAAAGAAATACATGGACATCTTGGATGACATGGGGGTGAGTAAATTATCAGCAAAAGTTTTTTTTTTTTTTTTTTAAAGTGAACAACTCCTTTAATAAACTTAATGAAAAAAAAAAAGCCTCAGTTCCTCGTTCAAATGCAGTTTATTCATTGAGAGAGTGGACAGAAATCAAATCACTGTAATCCAATCTCTTTAAACTGTTATTCTAGGTACCGGTAGAGGGCGGCAAAGAGAATAAACAACAAAGTGCTGCTAAGTGCTAACTCCCTATCCAACACATTCTAAGTTAACGTTACTCAAGAAAAAATCTGATTTATATTCCAGAACCGCCCAACTTTTGGTTCAATAAGAAAAATGGACGATTTTTAAGAGTTTTATACCCTTTCCGTTTCATTTATAGTGATTTCCATGTACGTTAGGGGAACGAAGCAAATACGGTTTGCATTGTTGTGGGTTATCGAAAAGACTGGAAACTCCAAGACGTGGATTGGGCCTGTTTCAACACAAACTATTCAAGGTAACGTTAACTTATTGTTATTTAGCTGGTTTCATTCCTAAATCTTTAAAAAACGTTCGCAAATGATTTCTGTACCGTTTAAAGTACAATTGTGCAGCTGCACACGGAGAAGAGTAACGTTAGGTAACTTTGTATGTCAGGATATAAGAAAGAAACACAAACTCTGTGAAGTCGTATTCTTCATGCTAGCTCGCTATAACATGGCAGACTGTGTAAAATCTGACTCAAAAAGGGTGAAGACTAACAATATGAACCGTGAAAATGAATAGAAGTAATTAATCTACGTAGTATTGTATGTAAACAAACAATTTATTAGCGTGTGTTAGAGACTTACCTGCGGTCTCATGCATCTGCCTTGTGAAAGTAGCTCTGCTCTCTTGATAGTGCATGCAATAAGTTAATTAATAATAGGCCTACCTATATATAAATGTGCTTTATGAATAATAACGTCCTTAACTTTAAAATTTTCAAAATGTAAAATATTGTTCTGAGAACTATAAACTTTTTTTTAAAATTATTTTTATTTATGTTTCTTTTTTGTACATAGTTTGGAGCGAAACAAATTGGGGAAAATGCATTGTATCTAATTTTGCATATTAATGTGTTCTTGGGGCTACTTGTAATGAGTGTATCAATGGGAGTTAGGCAACAACTTGGTAACATTTTCATATTTCATAGGAACATATTATAATTTATTGTGTCTCCCCCAAATGCCTGATAAACTGTCTATGACGGGGTCTTAGGGGATATTTTTTACGTGACTATTTGACAGTTGGTTGGATGTTTGCAGGTGCCTAGGAAGTCACAATGTCGATTTTGGGTCTAAAAAAGAAGCAACCAAAGACTTTTAAAGTCAAAGTCAGCACTATGGATGCTGAAATGGAGTTCAGTTGTGAGGTAAACATGCATACCTATGTGTTTTTAATTCTGTGGCCTTTATTACCATTTTGTGACCATAACGTTTTTATGTTTATCTCCATCTTATAGGTCAAATGGAAAGGGAAAGATTTGTTTGACCTGGTGTGCCGAACCATCGGTCTGAGGGAAACCTGGTTTTTTGGCCTTCGATACACAGTGAAAGACACTTATGCCTGGCTGAAGCCTGATAAACGGGTGAGATGTGGTGGCAGAGCAGTGTGAACAAGTTCTCAGAGTAATATAGGAGGAATACCCTGATGAGTTTGTTGTTTTTTTAAATCCATCTAGGTTCTGGATCAAGAAGTTCCAAAGGACTCTCCGATAACATTTCATTTTCTTGCCAAATTCTTCCCTGAGAAAGTTGAGGATGAGCTTGTTCAGGAAATTACTCAGCACCTCTTCTTCTTACAAGTATGTGGGACTTGTTCTTGTGAATTGAGCATGATTTCTCTTTTTTTGTTACAGAATCCTCTTTTGGTGTTGCAATAATTGGGTAAAAAAGTGTAAATTGCAGGTAAATTTTTTTACAAAGATAATGCAATGTGCTTACTAAACATAAAGATAAGAACCGGCCACAATTGTTTTTTTAAAATGTTTTTTAATACCAAATTGCTGCATATAATATGAAAAGTTGTTGCGTTTTACAGTGGTTTTAAGCACGCCCCTCTCGTCCACTTGGTTGGGCGTGATGTCATAAAAGGGACTCCAAGCTTTTACTGTCTATGCCTGGTGGTCTATGCTCCACGGCAAGTAGGCTAGCCGTTATATTGGAGACCTAGCTAGCAAAAATGGTTAACTATTGTTGTGTTTTTGTGCGGGATGTACGAATACATCAAAAACGGTGTGAGGCTACACAAGTTCTCCAAGGACAAACGACTGATTTGAGACAGAAATTTTTAAATATATACATATTGAGCACTTTAATTTACACATTAGTTGGTTGTGGTGGTTAACCTGCAATTTACACGTTAATCTAGTTTATTTTTAGCAGAGTTTTTCTAATGTAGAGTTAAAATGAAGTTTCTTTACAAAGGTCAAAAAGCAGATACTAGATGAGGAGATATTTTGCTCTCCAGAAGCCTCTGTTCTTTTGGCATCATATGCTGTGCAAGCCAAGGTAGGTCTCTATATCATTGTTTAATGCAAAAATGCTTTATAGTGTTTATTAAATGTTAATATTTGTTTGTCTTTTTTCTGTAGTATGGGGACTATGATCCAAACTTTCACAAGCCAGGTTTCTTAGCTCAAGATGAACTCTTGCCTAAAAGAGTGAGTAAAGGCTGCACTACTTGAGAATCAACCAACATTTCCATTCATTAAAATGACTTCTGCTTTTGATTTATGTGTTTTATTTTCCAGGTGCTGATGCAGTATCAGATGACACCTGACATGTGGGAAGAGAAGATAACTGCTTGGTATGCTGAACACAGAAGCATCACAAGGTAAGACTGTGCATATCCTGTTGCGTTCATGTAAATTCTCTTCAACATCAAATACACGCTACATTTATTTTGTTTTTATAGGGACGAGGCTGAGATGGAATATCTAAAAATAGCACAGGATCTAGAGATGTATGGAGTTAGCTACTTTTCTATTACAGTAAGTCTCTTTTTTCCCTTTATTAAAAGATTTCTCCATTTGTACACTGCTTGGAAGAAGAAAGCTAACCTCTCACTAACTGAATGTTCACTACATTTGGGATTTTGAAAATGAATGCTTCTCAAAACTGAGACTTTGAGATCACTTTGGAAGGAACAATTTCCTCTTGGTATATTTTCGTAGATTTTGGGATTTTGAAAATGATCCCATTATTTACTCACCCTCAAGCCATTCCTAGGTGTATATGGCTTTCTTCTTTCAGCCGAACACAATCAGAACTCAATGTGGTGCTCACACAGACGGACACACTGCTGAAGTGCGCACAGAAAGCAGCTTCTTTATTTACAAATATGGATACACATAAATATATCAAAATGCCTTGTGGAGTATTCACAGCCGATTATGTCTTATGTGAAAGTAAACAGTTAGGTGTGGATGAGTATCACTATATTGGATCTGTGCTTTCAGTCTTAAATTGACAGTAGCCTAATAAACCTGCTGATTTCTGTGCCATTAATGTTAATCAAACAAAAGGGAAAATAACTTACTGCTCCTGAGGAAAATAATGTATATTTAATTCATAGAGTAAAGACTGTGTAGTATTTGTTTTTTTTTACATTGATTATTTAATTTCTGTACTATTTCTAACTACATGTTAAATAAACCTATTGTACCTGTTTAATTCACATCTTCGCTATATTGTATTTGTCCTCATGTCCTAAAGAAAATAACAAAAATAGTTTGTGATGTATATCGTTTTCATGAAATAAAATTGATCACTTCATGAAACGCTTGACTAATATTAATTGATAAAATAATTTTAAGTAATGTGGTTAACTACACTTTAATAAATGGTACCTTATTGTAAAGTGTTTCCGATTTATGTGAATGACATCTGGTGAATTTTTTTATTTATTTTTTTATAATCGCAGAAAAATAAAATTTCCCAATATGATTTTTTTTTTTACCAATATAGTGCGGCCCTAATCCTCGCTATGTGTTTTCTATACAGAGATATCGACATTGGTAAATATGGGTATCGGCCATAACAGTAATATTAATATTGATTATCGGTATCAGCCACAAATTTTCACATCGGTGCATCACTACTCATTCACTATTCAATGGCATGACAAACCTGGGAAGAGCCAGGATGTTATTTCATTTAACAATGATTATGTTTGGCTGAAAGAAGAAAAGTCATAAGCACTTATGATGGCTTGAGGGTGAATAAAGTATTATAAGGGATCATTTTCATTTTTGGGTGAACTATACCTTTAAATCTCTGCTACTTTTGTGTTACACAGCAAAATAAGAGGGACACAGAGCTGCTTCTTGGAGTTGATGCTCAGGGTCTTCACATCTACTGTCCCAACAGCAAGCTCAGCCCCAACAAATCCTTCCCATGGAGTGGAATCCGAAACATTTCGTACAGCGAGAAGGAGGTTGGGAGAGCCAAAATCATAAATTAAAATCAAATCCAAAATTGGGACAAAATGATTGTTCAAACATACCTTATTTTTCTCTCTTCTCAGTTTACTATCAAACCATTGGACAAGAAAAAGGAAGTTTTTAAATTCTACTCATCTCAGCTTAGAGTTAACAAACTGGTGAGTTGCTTTTATAAATGTGTTTCTGTAATAGCCTATCAAAATAGTTGCTCATGTCATTTGTATATGTTAGATATTACAGTTGTGTATCGGGAACCACGACCTGTTCATGAGGAGGAGGAAGGTGGATTCCATAGAGGTGCAACAGATGAAGGCTCAGGCCAAAGAGGAGAAGGCCAGGAAAAAGGTCTGTCATTTGTGTTTGTATCATTTATAATCTATATTAAAATGTTTGCCTCGTCTTGTATTATCTTGTGCCAGATCGCTTCCACATTGGCTATTATGTGTGTGTATATTTAGGTTGAGCGTCAAATTCTTGCACGGGAGAAGCAGATGAGGGAGGAAGCGGAGCGGGCGAAAGAAGAGATGGAGCGTCGTCTGTTCCAGCTACAGGACGAGGCTCGAATGGCCAATGAAGCTCTAGTGAGGGTTTTGCTAAGCTAGAAATGGAGTGATGTCAAATAGTTTACTCTCTTTTCCCTGCCAGCTTGTAATATATGTCCTCAGAGCCCCAGCAGTATAAAAGCATGTGGTCCAGATGTAAATTTGTGCTGAACTGCAGATTGTCCTGGACTCCCATTAGAATTCCATGCTCTGATTGAGACTCCCTGAGCTTGATCCCGTAAGCCTCTCTTATTGGTCTCCCTCTCTGCAGCTGCGCTCCGAGGAGACGGCCGACCTTCTGGCGGAGAAAGCCCAGATCGCAGAGGAGGAGGCCAAACTACTGGCTCACAAAGCTGCTGAGGCAGAACAGGACAGGCAGAGGCTGGAGGTCACAGCCCTCAAAACCAAAGAAGAGAAGAGACTGATGGAGCAGAAGATGAGAGAAGCAGAACAACTGGCGGTTAAGCTTGTTGAGCAATCAGAGAGGAGGTGGGCCATTTGTCAGTTGTTGATACCAGTACCAGTGAAGTTTCATCATTCTGGATACTTATTTGCAAAAACTATGTTAATGAACACACTTTTTAATTCAAAAGTTGAATATTTATATAAATATTAACAGTAGCACTTTATTTTACAGTCCTTTTCCCCAAGTATTTATTATAGTAATTATAAAGGTTAGGTTTTAGGTACTACCCCTAAACCTAACCTTAACCCATGTAGTTACCTTACATTACTCAATACTTTCTTTGGAAAATACACATAAGTGCAACTATATTAACAAAATAAATGAAAACAATGGTTTCAGTTATTCTCTCATAATTAACATTGTTTCAAGTTTTCAACTAATTATTTAAGTAAATAAAGACTTTTTATATTTAAAGTTGCTCTCAATTTTTCTTCATTAAAAAAGGTTTTACACAGAGAAATAATACATTTGAAAAATGTTCAGTTATTATACTCAAATATTTGACCTCTCTGTGACCAATCAGAATCCAGTTTCACTGAGAGCCTTTTAGTTAAAGAAGTTGAATTCTTGTCTTGTTTTTGTGGCTGTCAGACTGAAGGAGGCAGACCACCTGAAACAGGATCTGAATGAAGCTAAAGACGCAGAACGGAGGGCAAAGCAGAAACTCGTGGAAATCACCAAAACAACATATCCTGTAATAATGCTACGACGTGAATCAAAAGTATTCTGCTGTTTATTGAATGCTTTTAAAACATGTCATTTGTTGTCATGTGCTCAGTTAATAGCAGCATACTCTAGCCCGCCTCCACCCACTGGGCCAGAGAATCCAGATTTGGCTCTAGACATGGGCGGCTCCATCCGAATGGACTTCAAAGACTCTGATATGAAGAGACTTTCCATGGAGATTGAGAGAGAAAGGTGCGCACTTTTATCATGTTATGTCTGAAAAACTACTGAAAAACGAAGGTGGATTTGAGCTGCTGTCTCCTCTTGTGTGTCTCAGGCTAGAGTACATGGAGAAGAGTAAACATCTTCAAGACCAGCTGAAGGAGCTCAAATCAGAGATTGAATCCCTTAAGCTGGAAGAGCAGCAACAGGCTGGAATCTACAACCTCAGGAGTTACGCAGAACCTCCTTATATTCCCCACAGCAATGTAAGAAACACTCACGCACCCATCAAATCACCCATTTGAGCTTTTTAATGAGCTATCGTTTCGCTTGATATGACCCTTATTCATAAAGCCCTTTGAACAGTTTGCATTTTGCAGTTTGCACTGAAACAGTCTTTTGGACCTTGAACCGTTTGGTTCCCATTGAAGTCCATTATATGAACAATTCTGGAATGTTTTCATCAAAAACTTTAATTTCTTTTCAACTGAAGAAAGAATCACATGGATATTTTGGATGACATGGGGGTCAGTAAATTACCCGCAAAAGTTTTTTTTAAAAGTGAACTACTCCTTAAAGCATCACAGCTGTTATCAACATTGATGATAATAAGAAATGTTATTTGAGCACCAAATCAGCATATTATAATGATTTCTGAAGGATGATGTGATTTCCCCAATTCTTTTCATGAAATAGTTCACATTCCCCAAAAGAATGTAACAATGTTCTTATTCTTTCGTGTCTGTCGGTTGCAGAGAAATTCTGCCTACATGGCTCAGATGGCCTTCTACGAGGAAGTGTGAAAGAACAATCCAGCCTCTGTTTCAGGAGCAGGAGGCTCTGGAGGAACAGTTTGCAGCTCTCACTGAAGCATGCATGTACACCAAACCTCATATAGTGTACTTCTAAAATTAATATATTTCTTTCTTGTTTTTGAGTCAGCCAGTTTGGCTTTGTGTTACACCTCAAGTCGTGTTTTACTAACACCACACATTGTTTGGCTCTTTCAAGCATATGAAACTGAGTTTGTTTGTTCACATGCCAAAAATATGTGCCAGAAATGCAAGGTATTAAGGGATATTTCAGATACAGATAGTGCCTTCAGAATGATTAAATTATGTAATAAGGTTGTAATGCCAGCAGAAATACAAGGACTTAATAAGCATTGCTATTATCAGTTTAACACTAGGTGCCTTTTACACATGCCACAAATAGTGGCTTTAACTACAACAGCAGTAGATTTCAATAGATTTTTAAGTAATTGCATGTTTGGATTGTGCTCTTTTTTGTGTGTGTTTTTGAACATTTGGATGATTTCTATTTTCCAGTACACTCCAGTGCCTTTTGAAAAGGCTTGCACTACTCATTGGGCTGGATGATTCTCCACCCATGCACTCTTTCTCACGTTTTGGGTTATACGGTCATATAACTTGCTTGGTGAGCGTGTCAGCTGTAACTACTCGCATCATATTTAGGAACTGAGGTAGATTGATGGCCTTTCTGTTTAGAAATGTGCTGTGCTCATCCATTTTGGCAGGAGACTCACACTCTGAGTGTTTTTTTGAATCTGTGACAGTTTTTAAAATAGTGATACACCGGCTGATTTATTGGTTTATCTACCTTTTTCTGTTCCTAAATCAACTGAAACTTGGATTTAGTGTTATGGTTGTGAGCCATGTTGACATTTCAGCACATTTACATCTGAGTTACATTTCAGATCTTGTTTTTTCCCCCTTCAAATTTTATGAGGATTTGTTTTGAGAATGTCAAAGTGTCCTTTGTTTCAAAATTCCGTGTATGCAATTTACACAGGACACATGCACTCATTTTTTGAATGTTTTGAATGCTCTTGAGTCTAAAGACGGTGAATTTGTTGCAGAAATGTTGGTTTGAGACAAATGAACCTGTGCGCTCATATATAAAGGGATGAGTTGTTATGATAGTGGAGTTTTTTGGTTGAAATGCCTCATTATGTTACAGCTGATTGTATATTTATCAGCATGATATTTTGCATCAATAAGATACCAGCAAAATACATGCATTAAAATGGATTACGGAGCAATATCTTTTGTAAATACACTACATGCATTGCTAAGTCGTAGTTAAATAGTGGAAGACATTCCTGTTAACGTCAGCATGACTGTGCACACTAGCTTGAGATGTCTTAAGAGAGAGTGATTTCACAAGGCAATTGTTCATGTTTTAATGAATGCCACTAAGTGCCCGGTTTAACTTTTTGGTTTTTTATTTGTTTTGTCTTTATCCGGCTGCACCACATACATCATTTGTTTTTGGCATGAATTTCACAATGTCACAATCAACATGTATGGCTTTGACTTCCTTTCAGAGCTCAAGCTGCCTTTAATGATGTGTGCCATTGATTCAGAGTCAGACCCAGATTGTCCATATGAATTGGACGTACAGCAAGCTCGTGCAGTGAATTGTAAACTGATGTACAAATAAACTGCAAAGATGCATTTAAGAGTTTTAAAGGGTGCTAGAACTCTATTGTGTTTACTGATTTTATTCTTTTTTTCTGGCCTCAAAACTCGGGAGGATGGTCCTAATTGTGCGCCCCCACTCAGTCGCAAAGAAAGACACGTCTGTGTGGCACTAGGTGGCGCTATAATTAGGCAATTTGCTCTTTGGTTCTGAACCCTGGAATCCTATTGGCTGTTTTGAACTCACTGTAAATGTATATTTCTCTATCTGCTCCTAGGCCGTTGGTCTGATCTTGACTAAGTTTTGCACACAGCAGCTAGGGGCAGTGGTGGGTAAAATTGAAGTTGGATATGTTGAAGTGTTGTTATGATGTAAGCAAATTAATTTGTCTGGTGACAAACTGCCAAGCATAATGTCCAAACTTAATGAAATTTGATACACAGATCCCAAGTCGCATCAAAGTTAACAAATAACCTTATCTTCTAGGTATGCATCTTCTTTTATAAACATCCTAACATATCTTGATAGACAAAAAGTGTAAGGGTTACAACTCTTTGTTCACACAGATCTTATTTTTTGCAATTTTCCAAAAGTCTATGGGGAACATGCATAGCTTTTCGATCGAGGGAACCCATGCTCTGCTAACTTCCGAGTTGTCCTACAAAGTGACGTCATAACTTCGATACTGAATATGCAACATAAAACGCATGCCCTTGACGTCACAGTTTTCACAAATTCACATTATTATTATTAATAATTTGGTATTTTAATTAGTCATATTAGTAATATTTTCAAAAACTTGCACTTTGAATCCCTTTCGCATTTTCAGACACCCAAAACGCCAATGTCGAGTATGGTCAAAACGCATAAAAAGTTTTCTGTTTTTCTTTAAAAAATGGTATCATGTTGTTGCCCCTTTTGTGATACTCTAACCTGTTTCATCAAACCCTAAATATCAGTGAAGATTCAAGACGGACTTTGCTGTAAAAACCTCATCATAAGATCGCTATCATCTTATGCTAATCGCTAATCATCCACAAATGGTGCTTGGGTTGTATTTGTGCTTTGTGTTTAAAAAACAAGAGACCAAAACACAAAAATCCAACTTGTATTTGAGACCATTTATCTCAAACTTATGTTTATCAGCAATATCCAATGCTTCAGTGGTTATCTCTTGCGTTTAAAGTAGCCTACAAAGTGAAAAGAGTCTCAGCGTCTCTGACAATATGAAAAAGTTCCAGTCACTGCCAAAAGAGGGCGTAATAAACTACATTATGCAGCTAAATATCTCTTTTAATCCTGCCTACAGATAAATCACACTTTATTGAGCTTGTTAAACGTTTTAATATCAAATAACATTTAATAAGAATATTAGCCTGTTTCTTTGAATAATTTTCTCTTTGTAGACGTACGTCTTTGCCTCAGTGACCTCGTGGATTTGACGCTTGCTTTTTTACGTGCAAGCCTCAAGGCCCATAGGAGGGTTTCATAGTGGACTGGTGAAAGTATATCGGGTCATTATCGTTTGATAATGTCTTCTGGGATAATGAAAACGTCGCGTAAATAAACATCAGCAAGACAAAGGTTAGTAACTAGTTGTCAAAAAGTGGATGTGAGGGTCAAAAAGCGTTTAATTATTCATTCTTACACAAGTTCTAAAGACCAGCGAAAATGCATGACGTGATAATAATAAGGTCAATCAAAAGTAAATTACACAAACGTCCTCCTACTTTTACAACGAGTTGTAACGTTAGACATTGACAATACCGTAACATTTCAAATATAGAGGACTTAGGATGTAGTTTTTATTACATTTTATTGTTTAGTATATTTTTATTTTCTCAGGGACTTTGTGATAAAAGACATTCCCTCCTCAGATACAGAAGTTATGGGTAGTTAGCCTATAAGAAATTTGTAATGATGCATCTGAGGCCTGTCATATTTTTTCTGGTGGCTACAACAACAATCAAATCCACCCACAAATATTTAATGTAGTCTACAGTGAAATATGGATGTGTCCAAGGCTGTATATTTTATCATGCATTATCATATATTACACATACAAGGCCATCTGGCAAGTAGTTTGGAGAAGTCGGAAATCTTGTGGAAAATCCAATCTGGTGTTGATGAGGATTAGAACTAATTATATTACTTTCTGAAATTCCATTATATGCGAGTTATTGATGCAAATTGCTTGAAGGAAAGTTTTTGAACAGACACTCCAGAACAGCATATGATTAGGCCTACCTTGTGTATAATGTGATCCAGATATTATCATAAAACACATCAAATCAGTCCAATAAATGTATGTAGTGAAATATTCAGTGGTTGTAAACGTGCTCATTTTTTAACAAGCATTACAGTTATCTTTAGAGTTTGGTTTAATGGATAAAATCAGTGTCAATGTTATCAGTGTTATGATATGTCAATGTCATCATCCATGGCAAAGACAGACAAGATTTTGAATATTTATGAAATAATAGTAGTTTTTAGTTTGACATTTTTTATATAAACACACATTTTGTTTAGAAAATATTATAAAGAGATAGACCTACTATATACATTAGTCTATAAGGTATTTTATAAATATTTGAGTTATTATTAAAAATATATAGGCTGTTACACATTTTATATAATATATTTAAGTAAATAACTTTAAATATAAATGTATATATTCATTACATTATTATGATTATAAATAGGCAATATATGTGTAAATATGTTATATATTATACAAGTTAAAGAAATTAGGGCTGTCAAACGATTAATTGCGATTAATCGCATCCAAAATAAAAGTTTGTGTTTACATAATATGGGTGCACTGTGTATAATTATTTTATATATATATATATATATATATATATATATATATATATATAAAAATACACACAACATGCTTGTATATATATTTAAGAAATATTTTCATGTATATACTTGATATAGATTTATATATAATTTATATTATATATAAATATAAATATTTTATAAATAAATAATATATTTTTTTATTTATTTACATGCATGTGTGTGTTTTATATACAAAAATAACTATACACAGTGCACCCACATATATTATGTAAAGACAAACTTTTATTTTGGATGCTATTAATCGTTTGACAGCCCTAAAAGAAATATAGACCCAGCCTATGCAACAGATGTTTTCTTGAGTATAAATCTGCTTTGAACAGTGTAATTCATTTCAATAAGCTGGTAGCTTTTATTTATTATGTATTTTAACATAAATAATTGTGGTCACTCATTTATTGATTATTTCCTAAATCACTGGTAACATTTTTCCAAAGAAAAACTGATTGACATAGATTCACTATGTTGCATTGTTCACTGGACAAGGACTGAGTGCTTCTTTAGACACAAGCCAAGCATCGAACTGTGAAGGTCACATTTTGTGTGTTTGCGGTGGGGGTTGGGTCTCTTCCTCTGGTCTTTTATTCCAGTATACTTCAGTGTTTAAGCGATGAGTCACCACCAGAGTGTTTTGTACCTCGTCCTGCAGGCACAGTGGCATTGTTTCCCATCCTTCATGGCGTGCCAGCTTAAAAAACATATGCTGATTTTTACGGTCCCATCTCCACCACTGATGTGTTTCACATCCAGTGTTGCCTCTGGCAGTGTTCTGCTCAAAAAGTTAGAAAAGCTGTTTTAAATAGAACTTGCCATTCCAGGTATTTTTTGAATGTTTGTTTGTTTGTCTGCAGTGGAAGACATTACTGGCTTCAAGAAGCACTCTGGGAAAGTGGCGGCACATTGCTTTCCCTCGAGGCAGAACGGGAAATGTTTTATATTCACGACACTCATATCTACTGTGTCATAGCACGTATCTTTCAGAATGAACACATTCATGTTTTTGAAAACACTTTTATTTGATACATTAGCCTTTATATTTAAACTTGGAAAGCTGTTTGTTTTATTTTATATCTGTGCATTTTTTTCACATCAAGCTTGTACTCGACAGAGCCAAATGACTAGATGGCTTTACTCACAACTCATTTGTACTAACTGTTATTTGCTCATTCCCCTCTTTTTGGTGCCTTGAACAAGACTTAATGGGCTCTGTGTGTAAAGCGAGACCTTGCATCTTCAGGCACGTCCCACTTGACAACATTTCCTCTGTTTTTGTAACTAATTAAGACTATCAGTCAACTCAGACCAAAAATCATTAAATTAATGACGCCGTAAAATGCACACATTTTTAAACCAGAGAGATTGTTTTGCTCCCCATCCCAAATGTATTACTCCCAAAAACAAGTACAACAATTGAGTTAATATTTGAGTTTTAGAAGTTTTTTTCATTATAGCGACAGTTGTTAATATGATAGCTCTGTACTCACATTTCCCTTAATGGAGTATTTAGAAGCAAGATTGCTGATTTAGCCCACTTACGCATATAAACAAGCAATTATCATGGTGTCTTCATCTGCGCACTGTCACTATTTTTTTTCCCTTGAGAGAAACATGATAATTATTTGCTAATAGTTTCATGTACTCTAGACTGTTCAAAAATTAAGGTAGGCGATCACTCCAAGGTATGAAAATATGTATCTTAATAAAAAAGAAATGCAGTGTGAAAGACATTAGTAAATTGGCATGCTCAAAACTACCTGTTTTTACTGGCCATCATCCAGATTTGCTAAGTTTTCCTGCAAGGCAACCCAGCCGAAGGTCATATTCTCACTCTTCCCTTCCCCCTTTTTTTTTTCTAAAAGTCTCGGTGGCAATCATCATCCTTCTTGCAGATTATGTAATTTTTTTTTTTTATCATGAAAGCAATTGGATTTTAAAGCATGCTCTAACTCAGGTGGTAACTTGAAGCCAAGGCGCTCTCATGGCATTTTGTTACTATTTTATGTTTTGACAAATTGTTGCTTAAAGGGATAGTTCACTTTGAAATTATTTTTTAAATATGTTTTAGCTTACCTCAAGGGCATGAAAGATGTAGGTGTCAGAGAAGTCTAAATTAAACATGATTTAATGACTCATAAATGTAAGTACACATTGATGGCCTAAGACATGAAACGAGCGGTTTGTGTGCGAAAACGAACAGTATTTATATCGTTTTTACCTCTTGTAACCACAGCCACAAAGCTCCCGTGAGTTGCAACCTTCTTTTTTAAACTTCCATGATGGAAACAAGCCCATTTATAATTATGACATGAAAAGTCAAAACGGTTAAAACATTCAAAATTTCATAAATATGATTTTTTTATGCCATAATTATGATATAAAAAGAATCACGTGGCTTTGAATGACATAAGGGTGAGTAAATGTTCATTACTTTGTGTCAGGTTGAAAGAAAATCTTTTATATGGACAGATATAATGTAAACATCATGCAACTGTGAACATCACCCCTTTCAGAGCATGATGAAACTTCCCAATGTCATCTCAATGTTGTGAGAATAGAGCCAGTGGATGTGCTTTTGCCGAGCTGAAAGGACAGTATTACCCTACTGTTGTGTGCTGATAAGTCCTGCTGAACTTCCAGAGGCCTCTGGCTGCTTGTTGGAAGCTCAATCAGCTTACTGCAGTGAGTTTGTCTCCAGCCAATCAAATTAAACAATGCTATTTCTCTACAGCCATGCATATTACACTGTTGTATTACACTGCTTAAGCTTTTTTTTTTTTTTTTTTTTTTTTTAAACATCCATATTATTTGCTGACATTATATATTTTGGCCACATGTCACCGGGGCAAGAAAATGATCTCTCAATACTCAGAAAACATTTGCTTTGGATAATAAATACTTGACAAATGCCGAGATGTTCCCGTAAGCCGCTATAAACAAGAGGCACTTTGGCAGCAACTTATCTGTCATTGTAATGCAAATCAAGATCTCTCTCAAAAGGGCTGACTTGGAAAATCACTGTATAAGCCTCAAAGTAACAGAATTAATCCAAAAATCAACCTTAAGGCTGAATCTTGATCTTGATTCGGTCAAACATTAATTTCTGGCACATTTAAGACTGATATTTCTTTGCATTTTTGGTAGAAATGTAATTTTTTATTTGAAATGATTTGCATTTTAACTGCTCTGAAATAATGCATTTGTAGAGTTATAATTGTAGGCTGTAATAAAAAAGACGGTTCCAGTAATGGAATCGTGCAATTACAACCCAATGCATTATTATAAATAATAATATAAGTTGCATTTCAGGCTGATTTAGACTGGCTGGCACTTGACCCAACAAGCTCACTCAGGGTTCTACCAATTTAGGCATGAATAATGTATGCCTTTTATTTTAGCCTGATAGGTACATATCAATTATTCATGCATCTTTAATATATTAGATAAGTTCATACATTTGCACTTTTAAAACAGTCTTTGGAGATGCGAGTAGAATTTGAATGGCTTTTAATTTAATGCAATTGTCAAAAAATGAGTTATATTTATATGTTGTCACTATGTATAACATCCTAATATTGCACTCCATTATTTTTTTTTTTATATCAAGTTCTTTTTACAGTGGCCCTTGCCAATTTGGATTTATATTACGAGCTGTAATAATTTTCTTGGAAGACTACTAGGTCACTCTGGCCAGACAAGTTCAAATAAGGTCTTCTTAAAAAACAATATCCCTTTGCATTTAAAATTTAATTATTGAATTATTCATGTTTTTTTTATATTTGATTTAATCTGACAGCTGCATGACTGCAGTCTAAAATGAGTCACGAATACTGCTTTAGAAGCTCAACATGACATCCATTCAAACTTTGTTGTAACGTCATAGAACAATACAACATTACAATGGCATGTCCTTGAAAAGAAATCAAAATGTTTTCTGGCACATGCCACTATAGCTAATTCAATAATATTTGTTTCTGTTTCCTTGCAGAATTCCACCACTTCCTTTGTTCTTATGGTACATTTCATGATTGGGTATGGGACATTTGATGACATGTGTACAAATGTTTCAATACGCAGGGCCTGTTCACAATTGTTTTTCATTGACCAATGGCCTTCAAGTTTGTCCTGTCAGTTTTTAATTCAGAACTCAAACCGTTCACTCTAATCTTCCAGGTAAACGCATTGTGTGATACTGCCAGCTTTGTCAGATTTGTAGTCTGTCTGCGTGGGAAGATATTAACCTTATAATATTGTTAAAACAAAGGATATGTGGTCCTTTTTTCCCTAACTTGCTGCTGTCAGCTGGGTTTTTCACTTGTTAGATGTACAGTATATGAAAGCAAACAACTGTTGGGCACATTTTCTTGTTCCAAAAATGTCCATTTTTGATCCTGTTTAAAGGAGAACTCCGGCGCAAAATGAACCTTTGGTCTAATAACACATCGGTACCTAGTCAATCGTTCTCTGAGATTAATTTTCATGATAATCGAATGTAAAGAGTTTTATCTCTAAAAACTGGATGGATGTCAGTAAGAGGACATCCATCATGTACAGGCCTTCTGTCACTAAAGATTCACCCATGAACCTTCAGTGTCCATCAGACTGGGCAGTGCTATGACTTCCTTATTCTCTTTATGCTGGGAGAGATACCAGAGCCACCAGATACATTAGTATGATGGTATAGGAGCACCGGTCTGACAGTGATGAATAGCCTGTGAGAGTAAGGGGATGTAAGGGTTTTGAGGGTCTTTGAATTGTCAGTGGATGGAGAATCTCCACCACAGAAAAAAAGGGTTAATACAAAGCCTGCTCAAAACACCAGATGAATAAAAATTCTGTCATCTCTTAGGCTACTCACCCTCATGTTGTTCCAAACCTGTATGACTATAAGGGTGTGTTCACACACAGAGCTTATAAAGTGCGGAAAAAAAAAACTTATAAAATGAGACAAAACACTGCCACAATGAGGATTTTCTGCAAGAAGATTGTGTTTCAGACTTATACCAAAATGTAACTGGCAACGTAGCTCCTATGGGAGCTCCTTGAGCATTCTGCCCTTTTTTAGGGTTAACATCACTTGTTTTTGGTTTGTTTATCATTCATATTTCAGTCGAACCACACCAGAGCTTGTATTGAAGGAGACTGTGACCTCCTGAAAAAGTCTCTCAATCCACTTGTTTGGTTTAGATGGCAGCGTTCACACTTATTCAAAAGACTACAAACTTAGTATCAGAAAAAAAAGTATCAGAAAATTAACCTATTTGACTCTATTACAAGGCTTAAATTTAAACTTAAATGTGGGTCTGTTTGGCTGTATGGCAAATTCAGAATACAGTGCACAAGTTATACTCGAAGAAGTGGGAAGTGCATTCTTTAACTTCTCCTTTGTGTTTCACTGAATACAATTAAATGGATTTGGAAGCACACATTTATTTGACCTTTGTGTCTGCCTCAGAGAAAATAGGATTGAATTAAGTGTGTGAATGTCATTGTGGTGCCTTGGCGAGAATTGTGATGGGAGTAATGTACTACTGTTGTAGGTGGTAGGTCAAGGGAAAAGTGTCTAGGTTTGTACTTGCTTCCAAGCATATCCAAATGAGTGCTCAGTCTCCCTAAATTACATGTGTCTTTGCACAACTGTGAGTCCTCGAATCTAGTTGTTTGAGCAGCATTCCAATAGTGTTGATAGACATGGTGCATCTCAATCAGCTCTCTAGGTTGTGAATCAGTATATAGTGCAACGGAAGTGCTGAAGAGTCAGGGAGCATCGAGAAGGAAGGTTTTCTCTCTATATTGGATGTCTGAGAGGTTTAGCATCAAATGCTTCTCCATAACCGCCATTGCTGAATCCACTGTAAGACACCAGTGTGTCCCTGAGCAAAACACTTAACCCCTAGTTGCTCCAGAGGTGTGCAACATCTGACATATATAGCAATTGTAAGTCGCTTTGGATAAAAGCGTCAGCTAAAAAAATGAATAAATGTAAATGAAAGCAATATGACGGCTATTCTGAACAAACTAAAACTAAAACAAATACTAAACTTATTCTTTATTTACTGTTTGGTTTACTTAGGATGAGATGTCTTTGACATGCACATTAGTCTCTTCTATGGCTTTGGATTGTTCTTAATGTAAACAACTTATCAAATGGGTTTTTCTCCATCTGCTGGTGATCATTTAATGAACACTAGTCTAGCTGATCTCCTGTGTGGGGCTTTAGAGATGTTCATAATGGCCCCTTCATTAGTGTCTCTATGCCTTCAGATTCTGGCTGAAGTCTTATTTTTTTGATTATTTTCCAATTCAAGCCAAGAAGTTTAGTTGAATGCATGTTTAATAGAGTGCCAACCAGAAACATTGACTTTAGTTTGAAATAATAAAAGTATATTCAGTCACTGCTATTCTGATTATGAAATATGCTAAAAATTAAGAATATATTATGCAAAATATGATGGGAGATTGAGCCCTCAGATAAAACTTTCTCTCTTATGTAAAATGCATAGCAGATTACTCACCTGGAGGAACCTAGATCCCATATTTGGCATAAATAAGAGTGCTATGCATGCATAAGTTGCAGACAGGTTGGGTTTATGAATGATTTATGATGTAAAGGACATCAGTTCAGGCAAAATTTAGATCCAATGACTCAATGATAATTAAGTTTCTTTTAAGGTGAAACAAATCTTAATCTAGTCCATATCCATATTGTATGTTTTTTTTTCTCTTCATTTAATTTACTCAGAACATATTCCATTGCCTCAAATATGTTTTTATTTGTTGTTTCTACCTTGACAAATGTAAAACGTTGCACTAAAAGACTTAAAAGACATATACTTGTAGTGATGAATGTTGTGTGCCCTTTCAATTTCCTTCTCAAAGCTTGTTTCATGTTACAACCTTGATGAAGAGCCGGTTTATTGATTTAAATATTGATCTTAATTTCCAGGTCATGGCCCTGTCACTGGTGGACCGTTGGCCGCATGTCTCAGATGACCAATTAACTTGAAGGTTTGTCAGATTTCTTGCTGTTATTTAATCCCTAAGCGATCATATGACACACCAAAATGTCACAGTTCTTGAGGTTCCAAAGACGAAGATTTTTAATAAAATAATAAATATGATAATCCAAGATGAAGTAACAATGTGCATGATACCCAAACAACCGAGTAAACAAGGATCTTAAGGCCCACTTAAGTGCCTTGGAATGCACAACTTTGTATGATGCGTATGAAGTTAATTTCCACTGAAACAGGAAGCTAAGGCGGGACATGTTAAATGGCTCCTCCCCCTTTTCACATAGCAGGAGCATTTAGTTTAACTCACAGACTGCAAGTCTGACATGTCAATCCGAGCACTGATGATACGTTGGATTTAATAGTAGAGGTGTGAATAAATTCTAGCCATTTAATTTTTAACCACCGTACAGTTCGAAAATGGAATAAAAGTCACGGGAAGCTTTAGATTCTAGAGAGCATTTAATTGGACAGAAGATGAAGTCCGCCGTGATGTCATACAAATCTGTGATCCATTTCAGCAGAAGTGAGAGACTAAGTTTTGAATGCTTATATTTCTGAAATGCGAATTTAGAATTTTGCTTATATCTCTGAAATGCGGTGGAGTGTAAATCATATGGTGTGATCTTGACTTAATATGTTTCTTTGCATGCTTGTTTTTTTGTGTTTGATTTGTATTGCTATTGACATGTACTTAGACCAATTTTCTACATTCTTAAAAATTGTATTATAATATATACAGTATATCGCTATAGTAATACAAGTAAAGTGAACACAAGCAAGAATGTCACACATTATGCATAGACACTGTCTTGCATCCATTACTCAATGCTTGCATCGCAGCTTGTGTTCTTTCCGCGAGCGAAGGCAGATGAGGATGGACAATTAAAAAAATGAGAAGCACCCTCTTGATAATGGTGACATTGATTATACATTGAGAGTTGTAGTTGAACTTGACAGCAAAATCACCTGATCTGGGACTTGTGTTTTAGCTCCTGCTCATACTGCTTTATCAGGTAATCAATCATTCCTGAATTAGTATTAATTGTGAGAAATGTAACGGATCTTCATTCTGTTTAGCCAGTTCCGCTGAAACACAATCACAAAAAACTACATCTTGTGTTCATCAGAAAGTGATATTTTCTGATATTTAAAGAAATGAAGGTCTACATAAGTTGAATCTGCTGCTTTAAAGGAATTTTCATTGAAAAACCTAAGCTCCCACGAGATACTTTCTCAACAGAAACATATAGAGCCAGACCGATATATCGGCAGGCCGATATTATCGGCCGATATTGGGCATTTTCTAAAATATCGGTATCGGCAGTTATAATGGCCGATAAATGAATATTTCAAAAATAAAATAAAAACGGACGAATCACGCTTCAACCATGTCATGAGTGTTGTCAAAAAGTGCAGGTAAAGGGATAAGCAAGCTGACATTGTAATTATAAGGTAGCTTATAACTATAAGGCAATGTAGGGACTAATTATTATTTTATTTATCAGAACTTTCATATATTTTGATGTTCCTCTGTTCTGTTGAGACAATAGAAACAAGTTTCTTTTTAAAATGCATTATCATATTATTTTAGTTAAAACTCATAAATAACTACAAATAACTAATGTTAGGGAAATCTGTTAATATTTTGATGTGCGTTTATGAAATAAGAATAATAATAATATCGGCCGATATATCGGAATATCGGATTTTAAAACCAACAAATATTTGTATCGGTATCGGCCTTTAAAATCCTTTATCGGTCTGGCTCTAGAAACATATGACCTCAAAATACAAATGTTCTGAAAAACCCACCCATGATAATTTGTGGCCCCACTCATTCACACATTTACACTCACCGTTTTTCACTCAGTTACTGTATTTAGAGCTGAGTTATGCTTGTATATTCTATATATGAAGAGTTCAGATGCAAAAGCCTCTAAATGCCATTTGAAATTTTCTTTTTTAATGATGATTTTTATCAAACTTGTATATTTAGGTTCAGTAATTTCACCTAAATAACAATTAATAGGTAATTATCATTGCCATTTAAGTGAAATTACTGAACTTAAATATACAAGTTTGATAAAAATCATCATTAAAGAAGAAAATTTCTAATGGCATTTAGAGGCTTTTGCATCTGAACTCTTCATATACTACCCTGATTTCTTCTTGTGGAGGGTATAGGTGGGTAAATGTACGGGCTTTTTCAGATATTTCGATTTAATGGACAAAACAAGCTTGCGCAAAATAAGCACACCCCCCAACCCAAATTTCAACAGAAACATATGAACTCAAAATACAAATGTTCTGAAAAACCCACCCATGATAATTTGTGGCCCCACTCCTTCACACGCATACACTCACCATTTTTCACTCAGTTACTGTATTTAGAGCTGAACCCTGAGGTGCCCTTTTCTACCCGTGGCCTATTTCCAGATGGACCACGTGGGCAGCCAGCAGCAGCATTGATTAAATCTGGAGACCCACAGGTCCCTCAAAACCCTGAGGTATCTCTATGTTTTCCACTTCATATTGGGTCTCCATTCTCTTTAATTAGTGAACATAGCTGGGGGGGGCGTACGTGGATGTGTGTGTAGAGCTAGTGCACGTAGGGGCAGAATGGGAAAGGTTTTGATGATTTGCATAATACTAACATCAGCATTTACTTGAGCGATCCAAAATGAATGACTGAAAGATGTAGTCAAGACTGAGAAATTTCAATCCATCATCCAAATATATCTGTTTTTGAGTTTTTGTGTAGGTGCTAAGATATATTAATGTATGCTATTAACACCTGCTGCTAGGTGTTTGTTGGTGAATGAAATTGCCTATCTTCTAAGTGTCATGCAAAAGGGACTCTCTCCTCCATATTAAGCTTGTCCTTGATTTCACTCTTCCACTAATGCTGTAATGAATCAAATCCTGCCCTCAGCAACAGTGTCTCTATCCCTCTCCCTCTCTCTCATATTTTCTCTTTGTCTGTCTTTATCTCCCACCTTCACATCCCATCATCCGGTTTATCTGCCTCACATCCCTCTTTTGTTTCTCTTGACATCTACAGATACATTATCTATCCTTCATCTGTTTTTCAATGTTCAAATTCTTTCTTACAAGAGTGAGACAATAAGTTGATCATCTTTCTTCATTGACATTCATACAGTATGTGCTTGAAATTTCCCTGCATTTATTATCTGTCTATAATTCTGTTTCTGATTTGCGGTGTTCATATTTTTGCCTTTGCAACTTGACCTCGAGTTTTATAAAGGCACTATATAAATGCAGTTTATTATTATTATTTTTAAAATACATTTAAATTGAAAATACGTTATGTTATATTACATGACATTATGGATGAATTAGGTGATTGGATGTCCGGAGGATATCTGTTCACTGTAAAAAAAATATTTTCAAGATTTTTTCTTTTGTCAAATCAACTTAAATGATTTATTTAGTTGAGAAAACATATTATTTTGAGTTTCTGATGTTTAAAGTAATCTCCATTGTATTAACTCACTTTTTCCAGTTCAATCAACTTAAAATTTTAAGGCAACCAGGTTACTTACTTTTTTAAGTTAAACCAACAATATCTTTTTACAGTGTGACCAATGGTAGATGGAGATGGTGTTCGTCAAACCTGTTTGAAAGTTTGTTGTTTTCCTTCTAAATTGTCTCTCCTGTCCTGATCATCTCTTTGTATCTTTCAACCCAATCTTGTCTGATTAGATGACTGCACTCTCTGTCTTTTGCTCCTTTTCAATGCCGTTTTCTCTTCCCTCTCTCAGCGCACAAGCTTTGATCCCTCTATAGTCTTCATTCATAGATCTGAATCAAAGCCTCACAACAGCATGAAAAAAAATAATGGACAGAGATGATAGGAAGAGGTGAAACACACGCACACTAACTATACTTTAAAGAGGGATTAATTTCACCAATACTTTCCACAGCCTGATTTATGCAATCCATAATAGATTTTCAACCAAAGATGATCATGATTCAAACAGATTGCCAGTGGCTTTTCTGACCTTGTAATTGGGGTGATGGTAAATCAAGGATCCTTATTTTATCTTACTTTTAGCCACTCATGCTGTGAGTCATGCTGTGCACAAGAAACGGTCTTGTTGATGCCTAAACAATTCTGAAATATAAATAGCATTATACCATATATGAAATATCATTTAATCTGATAAAACATTTGCAATTTTATATCACAGTTTTGACTTTTTTTCTTACATTTGCTTTACTTTATTTCTCATAATTGCAACTTTATTTCTCACAATATTTACAATATATATTTCATATTTTTAACTTTATCTTGCAATTGTATTAGTAATGAGATTTGCCTTATAAATCATTATAAATGTGACCCTGGATCACAAAACCAGTCATATGAGTCAATTTAATGACATTAAAATTTATACATCACATGAAAGCTGAATAAGTAAGCTTTCCATTGATGCATGGTTTGTTGGGATATAACAATATTTGGCAACTATTTACAACTATTTGAAAATCTGAAATCTGAAGGTGCAAAAAAAATCAAAACATTGAGAAAATCGCCTTTAAAATTGTCCATTTATGTTTGCGATTTTGCTGCATTCACTTACAAAAATAAATGTTTTATATATTAATTTAAAATATCTTCATCTTCATGATCTGTACTTAATATCCTAAGGATTTTTGGCATAAAAGAAAAATTGATCACACTGTAAAAAAAATATTGTTGGTTTAACTTAAAAAGTGAAGTAACCTGGTTGCATTTAACATTTTAAGTTCATTTAATACAATGAAGGAGATTGATTTAATCATCAGAAACTCCAAATATTATGTTATCTGAACCACATAAATTATTTAAGTTGATTTGACAAAAGAAAAAATGTTTTTTTTACAGTGCATTTTGCCCATGGAATGTATTTTTGGCTATTGCCACAAATATACCCGTGCTATTGTGACTAATTTTGTGATCCAGGGTCACACATCTGTTTTAAACGCAGCAGAAATATACGAGACATAAATCTAAAAGATACATTTTACTTTTAAAAACCACCTTTACTTCACTATTCTGAGCACTGAAGTGAATTAAAGCAGCTCAATCGATACAACACTGTATTGCTTTAAATTAGAGTGTGGTATTTTGGCTCGTATTATGTACAGGCTATTCCTCCCACAGGGACAGAAACTGCTCTCCCCTTTCTGGCCTTCTCCTTCACCTACACTTGGGGAAGAGGTTAACTCAGATTTGTCCCATCAGTGCCTCAGTTAATGGATGTGTTGTGTGTTCTTACAGGAGAAGAGGGGGCTGGGAAGCTCACATCAATGATTCATAACAGGTGTTCTACTTCAACAGACAGCGAATACAGAATTGTGTTAGGACGGTTATGGTAGTAATATGTATTAAAGTGTGTGTGTGCATGGTGCTGCGGTGTGGACAGTGTCCCAGAGACACAATGTGCTTATGTTTGATTGATGATGTAGATCAGAAAGAATGCATTGGCTTTAGATTTTTTCTTAACTATATATTGTGTGCGTGTGTGTGTGTGTCGCTAACCACTTAAACTGTATCTTAAAGCATTATGAAACGTCTTTTCTAATTAGTATTCATCGATCCAATGCAAAAAAAAGAAAAACATCAAAGTCTGTTTCCAAAGAAAACCTTAAATAGTGGAACAGTTTGTTTTTACCAACACCACAAGATCTCCAAAATTCATTATTTTCTTCTCTATACTATAATTCTGTTACATCTGTCATTTCGCCGTGGCAGGAAATTTATTTTTTGATTTACAATCGACCAAGCAATGCATTTTGTCTGCCTCTGCTCTGACATGGTGTGTGGAGCATATGCTTATCATTGCATCCGCCATAAATCAAACACAGATAGAGAGTATAAGGACAAAGAGAGACACAGAAGCATCACTCCACTCATCTCTCCATGAGATATTTTAAGATTTTCACTTTTTAATGCCAAGGACTGTCCATAATGATGATTCCCGGAAAGGAGTACCCCATCCTAAAGTATGAAATCTGGTCAGGTGCATATACTCAATCAATACATGAATAAATGGTCACTCTGCCCATACTGTAGTTCCACAGTCCAAGTCACAATCCATGTCATGATGTATATACAGTGCTTCGACTCACAAACCTGTGGTATATCAATACAAACATCACCAACAAGTGTGAGATCACCCAAATATTTCTTACGCAGATCCATGTACAAAGAACAATCACTTCCCGTCTTCAATCAAAGAGGTATTAGTTCAATTACATAATTACGGATTCTTATATATATTATATATATATATATATTCTTATATATCTTATATATATATTCTTATATATCTTATATATATATATATATATATATATATAATATTTTGAGCTGTTCAATTTCCTTCTGCAATCCATCAATTGTACAGTTGTATCTGACACATTAGCCATATCATCAGGGTCTGCACTTATTTGATACCGTCAATTTGAATACCTTTACCTTTACAGTTTCCCTGTAATATAGTTATTCATTTAGGAAAAGAATAAACAAAAGAGGACTCATCATATAGCCCTGTTGTACACCAGTGGTACAGCCAAAATATTTAGTTAAACTGTCAATTCCTTTCACACATGATTTAAGTTTAGAATACATAAATTTCAGCACACTAAAAACCTTTCCACTAATACCATTCCTAATGAGAGTAAAGTAAAGGAGACTAAGCTTTGGAGAAATCAATAAATATACAGCACATCGTTCCTTTATACTCATGTATATTGTTTATTTACATACACTACACACATATATTTACTTTTTAGTTTGGCACACATACAAACATATTCAGATTTTATATTTTATTGGAACTTTCCATAAAATACATAATATATAATACATGTATATATAGGGAACATTTTCACAACACCATTTTAAAAAACTGTGTTTTTGTTTTTGCGTGTGTGATAACGGTGACGTCATGCTCATTGGTATTAAATGTTCAGTCTATTGGAGCGTAGTTTTTCTTTACAAAGTGACCTTGCCAACTATGGGCTAGCATGAATAATACAGTGTTTTTATTGTTTTCGCAGATCTGTGTGAACAGGGATCGTTTTGACAATGTTGTCGGCTTTATGCAAGAAAAACCACATCGTTGTCATGTAAACATACCCTTCGTTTTCATGTTAATGTTGAAATATATTTAGTTTTTTTCCCTGTGTGTCCCCCTGGGACTCCAAGATCCTCACTTTGCAAACTCTTTTGTCTTTTTTGTCTCTTTTTTGTCTATCTAATTGTCTTTTTTTTTGTAAGCTTATTTTTTAGTAAACTTACTGTCTTAGTAAGTTTCTCTTTGAGTCTGCTATTTTCTTTGCTTTTTTCGGTCTCATATTTTCCTCACCATTTCCTCATTTCCTCCTCTACATTTGGCCTGAGCCTCCATCCTCATTCTCATTCTGAAAGAGGAGTGCAGTGGTGGGGTGCCTCGGTTGGAAAGACAAGCTGGTACACGGGATTCAGGCGAACAATCGC